CCACTCCACCCCACGATGAGGGACCGTTATTTGCCGTGACCACGCGGAGGTGTGCACGATATCCGCCACCAACGGTAGCCCACTTCCAGTGGTTCCGTGGGACGGCGAGGAGAGAGCATGTGGAGCAGGACGGTTTCACCGGCATCCACTGAACAAGGATTGCCAGGGGGCATCCGTCCCCGTTGCGGAGAGCATTGAGACCGGCCGCGGCACACCACCGAAGGATGTCGACTTAGCTGCTCCTCAGAAGCATCCGTCGCCAGAGGAGAAGTGGATCCGGCCAGGATGCCCCGACAGACCGCAAGAAGCTTCTCTCGGCGGCAGGGACCGAAGCAGCGAGACGGATGGCAGGCAGGACACGTCTCCGACTCTCGGTGATGACACTGCTGCTGCTGCTTGCCTCTGCTGCCGCCGTGGCAACACTCTATGGATTTGCGGTGTGGACGGCGTTGCGCTGCGAGGCGACTGCGCTTCCTCCTGCTTGGCCTGCACTCAGCATTGTACGTCCAATAGGAAAAACATCCATTTCAATGGGTCCCGTTCTCCATATGCATGTGCTGTGTCCGCTCCGTTTTTGTGTTTGAAATTGGTGGTATTTCCTATGCACACAGCTCTTCTTGTGTTGGTTGCCGATGCTGGGGGCACCAGATGGTAGTATGGCATTGCTTGTGTGTTTGTTAGATTTTCTGAGACGCAAATACACACACCGGTGCGAGTGGAATGTGCACACACAAGACACACACATATCCAATCACATTTTCTTTGTGACTTGTGCTTGACATATTATGCGGGGCGGGTTGGTGCGAGCAAGGCCGTCGGAAGCGGGCAGCTGCGTGAGCCCAGCAATGGCGTTTGTGGTTGTGTGCGGGATTATATATTCCATCAGATGCTTAACGCCGTTCATGGATCGTCTAAAGTTTTTTTCTGCGTTGCCCATGCTGCGTCTGCGCTGAGCTGCTCACTGCGTCTCCATGACCTCATGGAGCACGGCGTGACGCTGCTCGAGGACCTCATGACACCGAGGCAGCCGATTATGAGTAGCCCTGCACTCTACTTTTTGCTGTGGAGGATGCGTCTGTGAGCCGCGTGGTTGAGGATTGGATGGCAAAGGTTCCTTACAGGGATGTACACATCTTTGCGTTGGGGTGCACCCCGCATCGCAGTCCTCAGCAACTCGAGTGGGCTCGGATAGCGCCGAGGGCGATGCGTTCCAAGGAAATGGTGTTAGACTTTGCCGCCCCTGAAGTGCTGGTGTTCCACCTCAGCATGCAGAATGGGTTCCCTCAGCTGCTGTCGCCTCCGAATTGAGAGTCCGTTGTGGACGTTGCGGCGTCACGTCTTGTGGCGGCTATTCACGCCATGAACAACAGTGTGCCTGTCATTCGCCACCACAACAGTGGCAACATCTGCCATGGGCTTGCCGGGACCTTTTTTGAGGGGCTCGCCAGGCACTGCCACGACGAACAGGATTTCACTTAGGGGCGCCGACAGCTGCGGCAACCCGGTGCGGATCATCGTTGATTGGGGCTGTGTCACGGTGACGCCGCTGATGCGCCAACGCACATGTCAGTGTCTGCTTGATGACCTGATGCCGCTGGGGAAGAAAGTTTATAAGGAGACCTGTAGGAATTCTCTGGGGCAGACTCGAAGCGGCAGTAATTGATGGATGAGGAAGATGTGTACCGGTGCTTCTACCGTCATTGTTTTCTTGCGCAGTGCGTGGAGGAGCCTTCGGTGGCGCTGAAAAAACTCCACGCGTATCACCCGGGATTGGCGCATGGCGTGGAGCCGAAGGCCAAGCTTGCGGAGTTGGGCAGTGCGGTGCGGGCTCCGCCGGAGTTTTGGGAGAGAGGCAAGCCAGACTGTCGCTGCACATCGATTTTTGCGCGAGGCTTGTGGCACAGTACCGGGAGAAGCGACTGGCGGAGGCGCGGGAGGTGGAACAAGACATCGCCGTCTGGCACAAACCCTTCAGTAAAAACCTGGATGGCGTGCAGCAACTGACGAGGGATGTTGCGATGCCCCGGCCAGTGCGTCTGCGTCTTTTCCTGTTGCTTGTGGCTGCGAGCAGCACCGACGAGTTGACGGAGGCCAGGAAGCAGCAGCCGATCCGAGACGGTGGGCTGACGCCCGACGCCCATTTGTCCGCGAACCTTGAGCATGTGACGAGGAGGGCCGGGAGCGTGCAACGATACAGCACGGCGTCGGCGCAGAGCGAACCGAGCACGAGTGCCTCTGCGAGCAACGCCGCGACGGACGAGGATCCGTTTCTGAAGCAGGCCTGTATGCTTATGGAGACGGCGGACAGGAATAGGACGCTGCGGGTTGGGCTGTCGTTGGCATCGATGGAGGGCGATCATGTGATAGGGCCAAATGGCGCGAGTGGTGGCCAAAACAGTGGAGAAGCAGGAAAAAACGCCGGGCCATTTCAAGGGTGTGGTGGCAAATGGGAGAATCATCCTGTTCTGGGTGGCGGTGGCGGTGTTGGGACGATTGCCCTCACAACTCCTCAGCGCATTGTGCTGCTTGTTTTGGGTGGTGTGGCCTGCAGCGAGAGGCGCTCGGTCCATGAGATATCCAAAAGACATGGCCGTGAGGTGGTCATTGGGGAGCCTCGTTGCCGCGTCCTTTGTGTGCAGGGACTTGGCACCCTACGGCAGTAGGACTTAGGGGCGAGACACGCACAGGAATGCATCGAGGGCCAAAGAGTGGGAAATATACAAACACACACGATTGCGGGTGTCAATGGGATTGTGTGCGCTTCTTCCTGCATTCCGTTCCTCTCCAAGAAGTGTTCAATACGATACGCGTGTGTGTGTTTCAACGGCCGCGCTGCTCGCCTTTTGCTTTTGTATTCCTGCGTGTGCGGTTGCAAGTCATTTCTCTGCTACGATGAATGCGGATAAAAAAGGAAGGACATTTGTGGAGCATGCACCCACGGCTTCAATGTTCATCCACTGATGCTGACCTTTCTTGCCAGGGCATTTGTGCGCGCTTTTCCCTGCATTATCACTTTTTTTTTGCACAGGAGGCAACGGGTGGGCATTCGTGAGTGCTGCGGCGGGCTGTTGTTGCCCTCGCCGGGACGCGCTTAACGGCGTCAGCTCCATGACTTTGTGCACAAAAGGAATGGAACGTTCTTTGGATTCTCACCGCAGGCGCATGCCGTGGACGGCCGAAAAGGAGTGTGTGCCCGGTGTTGTTCATAGCTCCAGGGAAAAGATGGTGTTGGATGGTGCACGACGAGTGGATGTGGATTGTGTCGACCGTGCATCGCAGGTGTATCCGCTGGAGGCATTGCGGGCGGCCGTGGCCAGTTAAGAGTACAATACGTCCACCGGAAGAACATTTTTTAATTGGCTTCTCAGGCGGAATCCAATGTACTCAGGCAATGGGTTTACCGCGAGGATTTGCAGGAGGGGACGCACGACGAGAACGCCACTCGCACCGTCATTCATTTCCGTCGCCGCGAGACCACAACGCAGCCTCATGAGACTACACGCCTTGCGGATTTTCCGGGTTGGCGTGCACTGTTCCGCTTGGCGCCATTGTTCCCCATCCCCGAGCGTCGGTGCAGACGTCCCTGTCGATGCATGTTCCTATCGATTGCGGACACACACTCATTGATTGATGATGCGGCCGACACCCCAGCCCATTGCTGGTGCTTCTGGCATGACCGCTGCACCGCCCCCAGCAGCTGGTGCAGTGGGACTGGGGACGAGAACACGGCAGAACAAGTTCAGTCAGATGGTGCTGGCAGCCCTGTCAGCGTCTCGCCTACCCCAGCGGCCCACCACACCACCAGCGAGCAGAGAAATCGACGGGACAGGGAAGGCATTGACGGAGTGTCAGGACACCAGTTGTCTTTCCACATGACTCCTAGTCAAGCAATCAGAAGAATTAACAACAACATCAGTCACCAACAATGAAAAAGGAACAGCGACCACCGCCGACAGCGACAGCACCACCGCGGTGTCCCACACCACCTGCCCTCTTTTGCATCTTCTTGTCACGTATGCGTGCTGCTGCAGCTGCGGTGGTTCCCAGGCCTGCATGAAGTGGTGTGCGCTGAATATGAACGAGGGCCGATGGCAACTGAACTGTTTTTGTGATGAATATTGGCTGCACTTCCCGTGGGCCGACGATCCACGTGGTGTGCGGGGATCTCTCCTTTTTTAATTGTCACTTTGCTTTTGTGTTGCTGTGTGCGCTGCACCTTCTCTTGTGTGTGTGCGCATCCTCCGTGAGGGGTGCCGACACGACGGACCGCTCTCGCCGTATGTGCATGCGGTGGAGCCTTGTGTGCCGCTCCTGTTTGCTTCTCCCTCCTCCATCTGTGTGTTGGTGTTGCGGCAGGGCTGTGTGTGTGTGTGTGCCTGCTGCCGCGGATTGGAGTGTGTGTCGTGCGTGGTGTGCGGCGTACGGTGCATGCCTGGCTGCTGCCCTCTCCTCATGTGGTGTGCCCTCTGTGTGTGTCTGCCGCACCTCTCGTCCCCCCTGTTGCTCTCCATGTCCCTCACTGTGCAGATCAGCTCCACACCACTGAACGACCACACTCACGATGATGACGTGCCGTCTGCTGTGCGCCCTGTTGGTGCTTGCCCTGTGCTGCTGTCCGTCCGTGTGCGCGACAGTTGCTAATCAAGATAAAGATGCTGAAACGAAACAAGATTCCGATCTGGAGGATAATCAGATGGAGGAACCAAAGCTGGTAACGGATCAGCACAGTGCATCTTCTTCTTCGCCACAGAAAATAACGGTGGAAGGGACGGAGCACGCACGAAATACAGCGAAGCATACGTTAGAGACAACGGTTGCTGTAACCGGAACGGCAGGGTCACAAAATAATTCCAGTAATACAAAGGATCAAGATCATGGGCAATCCACTAAGGAAGAGACTGAAAACACGAAAACCGTTACGGTAAACAAACAAAATAAAAAATATGCACCGACCACGACTACAGAGGAACCCACAACTACAACGACAACCACTACAACACAGGCACCAAGTGGTAAGGCCACGACTACAGAGGCGCCAACCACGACGACCACCCGCGCACCGTCACGTCTTCGTGAAATCGACGGCAGCTTCAGCGGCTCTGCGTGGGTGTGTGCCCCGCTGCTGCTCGCCGCATCCGCGCTGGCGTACACCACTGTGGGCTGAAGAGGTGTATGCGGGCTGTGCGTGCCAGCACTCAACCGCGGGGATTTGTGCGCGTCCACTGTGGTCCGATGTAAATAAATACGAGAAAATAATAATGATGGTCTTTTTTTCTTTATTTGCTTCCGCTGCCCTGCTGTGTGCTCCGTGTTGCAGCTCCCTGTATCCGTCGTGTTGAACGCAACCCAGACACACTCATATGCACGACACGCTCACAACTGTTTGCGTGGACGCATTTTCTTTGTGCCGGTGCATGCGGACTGGAGCCATTTGTTGCAGCATTTTTTTTCATTTATTTGTGTTTCTTCACTCCTGTTTTTTTAAAATTTTTTTTTTATTACTTGCTGCGGGGCTGTGAGTTTCCTCCTACCACTGATTCCAACTGCCTCATGGTGTGTGCATTGTCATTTGTCACTTTGCGGTGGCTGCTGTGGTGTAGCGGCCGTGTCTTTTCCTTTCACTCTGCGTTGGCGGGGAGTTAGTTTGTGCTGAAGGCTACACGCAAGTGACAGGAGTGATGGCGATGATGATGACTGGCCGTGTGCTTCTGGTGTGTGCCCTCTGCGTGCTGTGGTGCGTCACTGTTTTTGGAATTGCAATGGACAACCGCTGCGTTGAGGATGATGGGAACGTATTGACGCACACGCATAATGGAGGAAATGACAGGGTGCGCCTGAAGGCGGATTTCGGGTTGATTTCCACCCGAATGGGATTAATAAAGGCGGTTGAAGCTGAGGAAAGAGAAGAAGATTTGGAAAATGATAATGCCCCATTGGACAGTGTGGGAGGAACATCGCCTAGTAGTCTGCTGGCTGGTATTGGGGGCAATGAAGCGCCTGGTGCAGGAGGAGGGCAGGGTGCTGCAGGTGCAGGAACACCATCCCTGCCGGCGTCTGGGCCTCGAGTGTCAGGGACAGGTGATAAAAACAGTCAATCACTTATAGCTGGTCAAGAAGGGAATGAAAAAAACAGCTTGGAGCCCAAGAAAAAAGAGCCAAAGGAGCTCCAAGAACAAACCACCGATCAATTGCCCTCTTCATCTGGCAGCACTCCCACTCGTTCTGGCGAAAAACCCTCTTCGATGGGTACTTCCGAGATTACTCAATTGCCCAAGGAAACGGTGACGAAAGGAGTTGTTAACCCTCGTAATAAATCTGACGATGATGAAGAGAGAGACGAAGAAGAAACGGGAAGAGAAAAACAAAAAAAGTAAAGCACAAACCGGGTCTCGCGAAAGTAAAAATAATGGAGAAACACCACCACCACCACCACCGCCATCAGAGGGTGAAGGAAGCCCACTACCAGATCCAGAAAATTCACAGAATCCAAAAAAAGCAAAAAACGAAGCCACGCCGTCAGGACCCAAAATGGAATCAAAGGCACCGGAACCGCCTTCAGGGGATGCTACACAAGGGCAGCACAGTCATGACACGGACACAGAGGATTCGACGAAGAATGCAGCAACCGGCAGTCCAGCAGAACCAACAACCTTATCTACCTCTGCAAGTGGCAGCGGTGATCATGTCCACAATAAGGCAGATAAGGATGATGCTCAAAGCTCTGAAGGACAACACGACAGCCTTGAAACTGGCAATACCAACGTTGTTCCAACTCTCAGTGAGGCAGCACCACAAACAGCCACCGCCACTCAAACAAATCATACGACGACACATGGCGACAGTGACAGCATCACCGCGGTCTCCCACACCACCTCCCCTCTTTTGCTTCTTCTTCTTTTTGTTGCGTGTGCGGCTGCTGCTGCGGTGGCCGCGTGAGAGTGAGGGAGAGAGAGCCGTGCACCGCCCGCACACACACTCGTCCTTCACTCTCTCTCTGTGTGTGTCCCCTTGCATGGACTCTCGCCCTCACCTCACCCCACGAGGCACACACACAATGTGCCCATTGTATATATGCATGCACACCCATGCAGGCCCGTTGGTGCTCTCTTTTGCACGACACGCACTGCTGCCGTCCTGCCTGGCTGCATGGGTGGAGCACCGTAACTGTTTTTGTTTCCATTGCATTGAGTGGGCGACCTCTCTCTCTCCCTGTGTGTGTGTTTTGCTTTACGGGAGCAATGAGAGTGTGTGCGCTGGTCGTCCCACGCTTCGGCTTTTTCTTGTTTTGCTTGTGTTTTGTTTGAGTGCACCCATTCCGCGGGCTGCGTGTGTGTGTTTGTGTGTGATGATATGAGTAATTTGCGTGTGTGCTATCCGTTTCTCTCTGCCGTTGCTTTATTTGGACTCTCTTGTGCCGCACAGCTGCTCTGCGGGTATAGAGGCGCTGACAAACGCAGAAGCAAAAGCACACACTCATGCCATGTCGTTCATGCTGTAGAGCGGTGTGAAAGCTGAGAACGCACGCGCGCACAAGCTTCTGGCTGAAGCGGCTGTTGCGAGAAGGAAGGGCGTTCACACGCAACTTATTCCCTTGACGTGCTGCGGTTGTTACGTTGGAGTCTTGCAGCCGGTGAGTGGTGTGGCATTGGGGAGTGCATGGTACAAGTACGGATTACCTCCCGTCCAGCAGCTGCACGTGCCGATGTGTCTCCGACGCTGCGGATTGGCCGATGGGGATTCCCCGGCTGTGCGCCGGCGGTCGAGCGGGTGCGCTGGTGGAGACAATAATAAAAGGACTGGAAGTAGCGCGTGGGCTTTGCAAAGGACGGCTGTGTTCTCTTGCATCCCACCTGTTGTTTTGTGTGTGGGTGTTGCTAGGTGTGTGCTGACGCGTGAGTAACGACACACCCGCCGTGACTCCTGCTGCTGCTGGTGGCAGTCGCTGTGTGTTCCCGGTGCACTGTTCTTCCTTCTTGTTCCGTGTGTCTGTGTGCGTGAGTTGTTGTTGTTGGGAGTGACTGCGGCGGGGATGATGGTGCCACTCACTGTGAATGGGTGGCGGTGCTTATTCTTTCATCCCTTTTTTATTATTAGCTTGTTTTTCTTCATTTTTTTCATTTACTTACGAAGAAAGAAATCAAGCGCTAAACGCTACTGTGAAATTAGAAGTCTCTGGAAGGACCAACAGCACACACACCGCCCACACACACATATTTATATGCTCTCACGTGTTGCTGCAGTGAAGGCACCCCGCACACACAACCGTCGCCGCGTGACCGGATCCAGCGGAAGGAGGAGGGAAGGAAGAGAGAGTGAGCCGCAGAGGCCCAACATGTCCCGGCGTGTGTTTACTTCCGCGGTGCTGCTCCTCGTCATGATGATGTGCTGCGGCAGTGGTGGAGCTGCGCAAGCTGGTGAACCATCGTCAGGTCAGGAATCTTCACCGAGTCCATCTTTTGCTTGGAGAGATAAGGAAGAAGGAGAAACAGTGGATTCGCTCTATGCTCCCAGCCTTGTTGAGATGAATGGTAAACTGTTTGCCGTTGCCGAGGCGCAGTTGAAGAAGAATGAACATGAAAAAACCCATTTCTTTACTGGGATTGCCTCGGAGCTCCTTGTGTTGAGTGGTGAAAACCCAAAGGAGCTGGCTGCAGCTAATGTGAAGACAAAGATACTGGAGAAATGTCCTTCCGAAGGAGGCAAATGCCCCTCTCAGTCAGCGAAACAGAACGGTTCCCAAAGCGAAATGAAAGTATATGTGAGCCGGCCAACAACAGTTGTGAAGGAAAATGACATTTACATGCTTGCTGGAACCTACATCAGGGAAAATGTCGCTGTTTGTCAGGGTGGGGCTGACGCGGCCTCATGGGGTCTTTTGCTGGTAAAGGGGAATGTCAGTGATGAACAGGACAAAGGAATTGTTTGGGAAGATACTGACGGTCTCCCGTGCACTTCTATTGTGGGACGTCACGAATCCTTGGCAGGTGAGTTTGGAAGCGGTGGATCGGGTGTTAAGATGGATGACGGTACGCTTGTGTTCCCGTTGGAAGCCGTGAAGAAGGATGGCACTGAAAGTGAAGCAAAGGAAGAAAAGAATAAGAACGTTTCGCTGATATTGTACTCCTCGGATACTGAGAATTGGACGCTGTCGAAGGGGATGTCTGCCTATGGCTGCAGTGATCCCTCCGTCGTGGAGTGGGAGAAGGGAAAACTCATGATGATGACTGCGTGTGATGATGGCCGCCGCAGGGTGTACGAGTCCGGTGACAAGGGGGATTCGTGGACGGAGGCACTCGGGACACTCTCGCGCGTGTGGGGCAACAACCAAAAGCGACATGAGAAGGGCATTAGTAGCGGGTTTATCACAGCGAATATTGCTAAGAGAAACGTGATGCTCGTTACTGTGCCGGTGTATTCCAAGAATGGAGAAAAAGGCGTACTTCATCTTTGGCTGACGGACAACACGCACATTGTTGATATTGGGCCGATATCCGGCAACGACGACGCTGCCGCCAGCTCCCTGTTGTACAGAAGTGGAGATAATAAGAAGGAGGAGTTGATTGCACTGTACGAGAAGAAGAAAGGCGGTGGGGAATCATCACTCGGTATGCTCTCAGTGCGTCTGACTGCGCAGCTGCAGAGGGTGAGGGAAGTGCTGGCGACGTGGAAGGAAGTGGACAAACGTGTCTCCAAGCTGTGCCCCTCTAAAAGTCTTGCGAAGAATCCCTCAACTGGCAATGGCTGCAGCACTGATAAGATCACGGATGGGCTGGTTGGCTTTTTGTCCGGCAAATTCTCTGGTAACACATGGAGGGACGAGTACCTCGGGGTGGACGCCACAGTAAAGAAAGGAACGAATGGGCTGGCAACAGGGTATGCGGATGGAGTGACGTTCCGGGGACCGTGGGCGGAGTGGCCCGTTGGCCGTCAGGGGCAGAATCAGCCGTACCACTTTGCGAACTACAACTTCACTCTGGTGGCGACGGTGTCCATCCACGGTGAGCCGAAGAGTGGCAGCGTCCCATTGATGGGTGTGCGTGCGGGCACTGACGGAGGAACAAAACTTATGGAGTTGTCGTACGGCAGCGAAAAGAAGTGGCGGGCGCTGTGCTGTGACGGAACAACCGCGGAGCACAGCAGCACTTGGGAGCGAGATAAAACGTACCAAGTGGCCATTGTGCTACAGAACGGAAAAAAGGGCTCTGTGTACGTCGATGGTCAGCGTGTGTGTGAGAGTGTGCAAAGTAAATTGGAAACTACAGAATCGAAAGGGATCTCACACTTCTACATTGGAGGAGATGGAGGCAATGCAGAGAACACTGCGGGTGACGAAGGTGTGTCTGTGACTGTGAGGAACGTCCTATTGTACAACCGCCCGTTGACATTTTCAGGTGGGAGTGCCGATTTGGAAGAAGATATTGCGTCACCTTCTGAGGCTCCAGTGGAACAAGCGGCCTTGCAGCAGTCTCGAAAGAAAAGTGAAGAACAGCAAGTGCCGGCAGCTTTGAGCTCCCATGCCGTTGGAGAAATAACAGGCGACGGCGGCATTGTGCGTGGGAGCGGACTGCTGTCATTGCTTCTTTTGGGATTGTGGGGGTTTGCGGCTCTGTGAGTAGTGACTGGCTGCCGCGTGGAATACCTACGCCCTACCGAGCACAGAATTACTATTCCCATAGGAACAAATTTCCCTCATAAAATCTTTTTTTGAGCGTATTTTAAATTTATTTTTCTGTTTTTTACTTTCTCATCTCCCATCCCTTCTTTTTTGCTTTTGGGCGCAATCAATATGGACGGTTTTTTTTTTTTTCGACTCTTTTAATTGTTTCTTGCTGCACTCTTCCCGTGAGGGGTGCCGTGTGTTTCCCGCCCAACTGCTCCGCCCGCACACCCACCGACACGCTCATGACGACGGCCCTGTGCGCCTCGCCTGCTGCGCGCATGAGGAGGGGCCGCGACGAACGGCGCGCTGAGGGAGCCGTGACGTGTGGGCGTGCGACGAGGGCCGGTGGGGCGGAGCACACATTTCTTTCCCTCTTGTTTTGTTTCTTTTGCGGCCAGGGCGGGCAGATACCCGCAGCGCCACACACACACAGCCACACCCTGCCGCCGTGTTTTTCTTTTTTTTTGCTGCGCTCACTCCCCCGATGGAAAGACGCGACTCCCGTCATGTCTGCGTGCTTTTCTCAGTCCCCACACAAGAAGAGTGACTGTGCTCTGCAGGCCGCACTCACGCGCCGATGAAAGGGCTGAGGGGAGCAGCAACACGCAGATGGCCCCATGAAATATAAACGATGTGCGGACACGCAGAGGGTCAGACGGTTGAAAGGCATTTAAATATCTTTTAATTTTATCTTCGGACAAAATATGCAGACAATTTCTGGAGCAACATGGTAGTTAGGTGCTTTTTGTGTGTGTGGTTTTTCTTTCTTTTTTTATTATTTGGGTGTAGCCGTAGTAGAGGACGACTTTTTTTAATTTTCTTTTTTTCTTTTTTTCTTTTCATTATTTTCATTTTTTGTTTTTTCCAAAGTGTGTGGTGTGGAAGGGTGTAGATGAATTTTTGTTTATTTATTTTTATTTAATTTTTTAATGAATTGCCGCTGCTTGGGCTGCAGTGCAATATTGTGAGCCTGAGCAGTTTTTTTCTCTTTATTTCTGCCATGCACCTCTGCTGTACGTTTTTGTTTGTGCGTCCCTTCACATGCTCTGCTCCTGTTTTTACTTCTTTGCCTCGTGTGTCTGCAGGCACACACAAAATGCAAATTGCAGTGGATTTGGATGCTTCTTTTGTAGCGTGTGCTGGCGGTTGCGGGTGGCGGCGGTTCTCTTCCGTGGCCATGAGGAGAAGGAAGGAGGAAGGGAGCGCCCAGCCCGAGTCTCCTTTCCTGCGGATGCGGTGGTTGTGCCGGTGGATGTGTCGTATGCTCCGAGTGACGGCGGCCTGAGCTATCGCGTGTGTGTGTGTGTGTGTGTGTGTGTGGAAGAAGTGTTCTGCTGCCAGTGCTGAGGCTCAGCATGAGAATTATACTTTCAATGGCTTTGATGTGCACATGCATGGCAGGAATGGTGAGCTGGGTGCTGTGTGCCATGTGGCCAATGCGGTGCACACATGTAGCAACTGTGCTGCCAGCTGTGCAACGGAAGAGGAAGAGGCCACCGTTGCCTTCACGATGAATTTGACGTCACATAAATACGCCGGCCCCTATGAATTGTGGTGGCGTCAATTTTCTCTCGATGGAACCATCCATCCGCCTGCACGGAGCAGCGATGCTGACCAGACGGGCATCTGTCAGTTGCCGCCACCCCGTGAAGGGAAGGATGACACAAAATCTGGTGGGACAACTGCGCCGCAAGTTAATGCTGAGCCGTCACGTCAACACGAGGATTGGCGACAGTCTGCGGCGGCTGACGGACCCAACACCGTCGTTCAGAGTCCCGCATCCAACACGGCGACCAACACGTCCGAGACGAGGCCTGAGTTTGCCAGCAATCCGAGCGAAATGATGGTCCCGAATGCATCCAAGAAGAGGCCTTCCTTTGCCAACGGTCCGAGAATATTAGTGGCGCTGAATGCATCCGGGATCATGTCTGTCACTTATGGCGGCAGGGAACACGTTGCTGCGGATAACACGGTCGAGGTGAGTGAGCACAACGCCACCGGACACAAATCTCTCGTTTTAGAAAATGGCGCTGCAGGCAGTGGATTTGTTGCTGAGGGTGATGCGGACGGATTGACTCAACGCAATGCCTTTGGACACGAAAACCCCAATTACGAGAATTCACCGCGCAGTATTCCGGGAGCGGTGTGTGTCCCGACGACTGCTTTGCCCTGCTCAACGACGCGAAATTGACACTGCGTGAGTTAACTGTTGATGGCACTGTGCGTGTGTGCGTGTATTGGGTGTTGCTGCTTCTTCTGGGATTGTGTGGAGTTGTGGCGGTCTTCTGAGCCGAAGAGTGTGGAATTGCGACTCCTCACGGAGAACATGTGCTGCGTTCCCTGCGTGTTTCCTTTTATTATTTACATGTTACTTTGTTTGTTTTGTTTTTTTCTTGGAATGATAATTATCCTTGCTGTTTCTTTATTTAATGGTCGGTTGCTGCACACTCTCATGTGCGACGTGTTTCTCTCACTTGTTTTGTCTTTTGTTGCCCACACGCGGTGCCGGCCTCACTGCTGTGCGTTCCACGGACTGCACAAAAGGAGGAGCGGAGGAACAGGCCGGATGCCGCAATGAAATGTGAGGGATGTTGTGTGGGCTCAGGGAGCAAGACGATCTTTTTTTGTTATATTTGGTGCAGGCATTATGTATACAGAAACACACGGTTGTCTTGTGCTGCTTGGCACATTAAATAGAATTTCTGCCCGATTGATTTTTTATATTCCTCCCCTGGAGTTCTGATGGACTCCCATCATTTTTTTTTTTGCTGTTGTGTTCTTTTTTTGTTTTTTTCCGCTCTTTTAAGTTCTGGTTTGCGGGTCGGTGTGAGAGTTTTGCGGTTGTAATGATTCCATCTGTCCTTTTTGGTGTGCGCTTCTTCTGGCTGCTGCCATTTATTACCATGCGGTGGCTGTGCGTGGTGTAGCTGCTGTCTCTCTCTAATTCCTTTCTCATGCTCCTGCAGATCGAATCTTCGTTATTCAAAAACGATAGTTTTGACGATGATGCACCGTGTGTTTTGTGTCGTGTTGGTGCTGGCACTGCTGTGCTGCTGCTCGTGCGTGTTTGCCGTGGAGGAGGAGGAGCCGCAGGTGACGCAGGTGAATGCAGTGTGTGCGGGTGACGGCAATGTTGCGCGTTGGCAGCTCCCTGGGACGTCATTGTGGTACAACTGCACGACTGCAGCTGCTGGTTTTGGGCTGATGATTTGCGGCATGGGCGTCGGAAACTGTGAGCCCGAGGATGTTCAGAGACGTATAAAAGATGGTGCGAACGGTGGCGTCTTCACAATCAACGTCACATCGCCCACTCCAAGCGCGGTGAAGAGTTGGTGGGAGAGTAACGTGGAGACGAAGGTGGTCACCGTTGAAGGTGGTCCGGCCAAACCTTTGGAAGAAAGACCTCCGGGGTCTCAAGAAGACACGATTTCTCGTGAAACATCTTCCAGAGCGGATTCTGAACCTCCTGCTGACGCTGAGAGTGCGGCTGGTGCCCCTTCACTGGCTGGAGCTCCGGGTGGCGCTGGTGAAAGTGTTCCGGCCACACGTCCGGAAGCAGGCATTCCGGTGGCTCGACAAGAGGAGGCTTCTCGTGACGCCTCCACAACAAATTCAAAATCTCCTCCTGCTGTCGTTGAGAATTCCACGGATGTCCCTCCTCCTCCACCACCTGCAACTCCAGGCGGCGCTGGTGCTAACTCTGCTGCTGGCGCTGCGGCCACGACGGATCCTTCTGCCGCGGCCTCGCAAGCGTCGGATTCCGCTCCCTCTGGTGAGCTTCAAGGCCCTTCACATTCTACTTCTGCTGCTTCTGCTGCATCCGAATCCCCACCAGATCCAAAGCCCACAGAAGGCGGCGACCACTCCTCCCATGACCCTCCAGTGGAGCTGCAGGAAGAGACTGCTGCTGCGCCACCGACTCAGTTGTCCCAGACCGGCGAGGAGGGGGGTGCAGCTGGAGGCGCCGAAGAGGACACCGCCGCCAACACCACCACCGAGACTGCTTCCGGCGAAGGAAATAATATGGCGTCAAGCATGCCGGCTCCTCTTTCCTCTGCGCCCACAACGAACGCGCTGGAGAACAGTGTGGGAACTGACGCCTGCTTCCATGACGCCCATCTGCATGCCCTGCCACTGCTTGTTCTGGCTGCACTCACCTACGGGACACTGGGCTGAAGAAGTGTATGCGGGCTATTAAAGCCAGCACTCAACCACGGGATGCTTTGAGCTTCTTTTGTTTTATTGCGTAATAAGTAAGAGAAAATAATGATTGTGTGTTTTGCTTCATTTGCTTCAGCTGCGCTGCTGTGTGCTCCGTGTTGCTGCTCCATGTATCCGTCACGTTGAACGCATCCCAGACACACTCATATGCACGACACGCCCACAACTGTTTGAGTGGACGCATTTTTGTGTGTGCTGGTGCATGCACACTGGAGCCATTCTTCGCAGCTCCTTGTGTTTTGTTTTTTGTGTTTTTACTTTTTTTTTTTTTACATTCTATCTTTTTGTTGTTGTTTTGTTGTTACTTGTTTTTTGTGTTCATTTTGCTTGTTTTTTACTTCCTTCGGGGCGTTGTGAGTTTTTTTCATTTTTTAATGGTTTATTTTCTTTAATTTTTTCTTTTTCTTTTGTTTACTAATCTTTTACTCCCCATCTCTTCTCTTTTTTGCTTTTGGGAGCAATCAATATGGACGTTTTTTCTTTTCTACTCTTCCCTCTTTTAATTGTTTCTTTTGCACTCTTCCTGTGAGGGGTGCCGTGTGTTTCCCGCCCAACTGCTCCACTCGCACACCCACCGACACGCTCATGACGACGGCCCTGTGCGCCTCGCCTGCTGCACGCATGAGGAGGGGCCGCGACGAACGGTGCGCTGAGGGAGCCGTGACGTGTGGGCGTGCGACGAGGGCCTGTGGGGCGGAGCACACATTTCTTTCCCTCTTGTTTTGTTTTTTTGCGGCCAGGGCGGGCAGACACCCGCAGCGCCACACACACACAGCCAAACCCTGCCGCCGTGTTGTTTTCTTTTTTTTTTGTTCTTCTTTTCTTTTTTTTTGCTTATGTGTGTGCTGCCACCGTGCGTGATTGTTGATGTTGAGGCCGTACCGCATGCATCGCTGCCATCCAGCTGTGCCTCTTGCTGTGCTGATGTGTCTCCCTGTTCTCCTCCTCTTTTTTTTTGCTTTTCCATCACACACCCAGCACACATAAGTACTTGCAAAATGCTCTGCAAGAATGTATTTGCACTGCCGAGTACGTGCTTTGCTCGGTGTGTGCTGGCGCGTGACGGACGGTGCCACGATGGTCTCCTCTGGCGATGACAGTCGCCGTGTTCTCCGCACACATCTACACACTCTTCCTTGTCTCTCTGTGGGAGTGATTGCGGCAGCAGCGTGGTCTACGGCAGCGGCAGCTGGAGCCTTGGAGAGGGACGAGGCGCGGAAGAAGCAGAAGAGGGCGAACCTGCTGGACGAGATTACGATGGCGGATGAAAGCTGTTTCGTTGCCTTTGCTTCGTACATTGCTAAGATTGCGGCGTGTCGCTGCCTGACGGGATGCCTGCACTCGGCACCCTTTGAGGCATTGCGTTGTTTCATTCAGTGTGATGTCACAATCATCATGGAAGCATCTTCCCTCAACGGCTCTGAGTGTGACAATACGAATGACGGCAAAGAGAGCGATGAGGATTATGGTGACGACTTGCACCGAGGGGCGGATTACTTGCGTGTCTTGGTACACGAATCCCAGGAGGGTTTGAATGCCGTCTTCACAATTCCCGGCCTTGCGAAACCGTTGGCTTTCGCGCTGTCACCCACCGTAATTAGTGCCCCATGCGTTGAGGCTGATCCATTTGCCGTGGAGTTCACGCAGCAGCTCTCGAGTGTTTGTGCTGCTGGTCCTGCGTTGGCCCTTTCGCATGTATCTCAGCGTTGCCTGGCGGATGATTTGATGTCTGTGTTGTCCAGGCCGCCTCGGGTTTTCTTTTGGTGCCCAATAAGAAACACTTTGCGTTGCGGTGGATATTTATTTGCGTGGCCGTCGATGCACGTGACGATGCTCAACGGGTGTGTCTTTTGTTTGGCAGGCACGAGGGAGACTTCGGTGTGCGCCGACATCTCCGCGAAAGTCTTCGTTGACGGATCGAGGCGAAAATAAGGGAGGTCTGTCCGCTGCATCTCTCAAGGCAGCTGCGAGGCACTCCGGACGCACAGAGTGAATGGATGGATGCCGCGCAGCTGGGGAGACCAGTTTTCTTCTCCGCCCTCCGTTGCCGGGGGAATCGAGAATCCACAGCGTCACTGCCAGCTGCATTTTACTGCTGGGGATCGACTGTTCTGAAGTTGCCCGTCTAATGTGAATTCCAGCGTCAGTGCAGGAAGACGCTTTCACGCATTGCGAGTATTTGCTCCAGCCTCGAGCTCATCAATATCCACAGCAGGGAGCAATGCATCTTGGTGGCCGGTGACGTTCAGACGAGTGTGTTTCACTTCACCCGCCTCGTACTTGTGGGGGACACTGCGCATCGACCCTCCCCAACAGTCCCACCACCTTCACTTTCCCCGCCGACCGCTGCCCTCTGCTGACGGTACAGTTGTTTGGCTCCGCCAATAATGCGCTTTTGAAACTTCCTCTCCGCACTCTGCAGGATTATTGCCGTGGAGGAGTTGATGGCATATGGTGTGGGTGTGGCGTCGACAGAGTCATCCACGCATTGTCTTAGAAACATGACTTTGAGTCGTGTCAGTCATGCCGTGTTTTCCTTTTCTTGCTGGGAGTCTTGTGGGTGTGTTTGAGCCCTTTTAGGAGCCTGTGTAGAGAATGATCGCGGGAGAGCTGGCTGCCTTAATGAATGTATATATATATATATATATATATATCCTGATAGAACGAATATACACTTCTTTAGGACACTTTTCTACCGTATGAGTTTTGGGAAGGCCACGACTTTAAAGAGCCGACAGCGGCCGGATAATTTTTATTTTTATTTTAACCATCGCACCCACCCCCTTTTGTTTCTCACCACGCGGCGGTGTCTTGTGGCTGCAGGACCCCAAAAGTCTGCCACCTCGTAAGTAATAAATAAATATATGTATCCTATCCGAATAGAGTGAGCGGGCCACGATTGTGGCTAACGGATGGTATGTATATATAAACATGCATTTATTTGCCTCGTGTTGAACTTTGAGGATGTGGTGAATCCACTCTTATTCCGTTGATCCCTCACTTATTTCTATCTTGTTTGGTTTCTATTTTTGAGAAACTCAGGATTTGGCCAGCGGCCCAGAAGATTATTCTTTATTGCATCACCTTATCAAAGAGAAGCAGGAACAACACAAACCGAATTGTTGGCTGCACCAACACAAGAAACATTCACAAGAGGAAAAAATAAATGTGCACCCTGCAGGAATCCCCAACACACGATCCAGGCATGAAGGTTTGCCCTCCGCAAAACAAAACAACGCATGCAGACATCTGCCAACATCCAAAAAGAAACGCAAATAAATGGTTGGTTGCATTATTCCATTCCTTGCGCTTGTTTTTTCGTGTGCTGCTGCTGCTGCGATGGTTGTTGGGCCTGCATGAAGTGGTGTGCGCTGAATATGAACGAAGACCGATGGCAACTGAATTGTTTTAGTGATGGATGTTGGCTGCACTTCCCGTGGACCAACAATCCACGTGGTGTGCGGGGATCTCTCCTCCTTTTTAATTGTTACTTTGCTTTTGTGTTGGTGTGTGCGCTGCAACTATTCTCGTGTGCGTACCCTCCGTGAGGAGTGCCGACACGACGGACCGCTCTCGCCGTATGTGCATGTGGTGGAGCCTTGTGTGTCGCTCCTGTTTGCTTCTCCCTCTTCCATCTGTGTCTCGGTGTTGCGGCAGGGCTGTGTGTGTGTGTGCCTGTTGCCGTGGATTGGAGTGTGTGTCGTGCGTGGTGTGCGGCGTACGGTGCATGCCTGGCTGCTGCCCTCTCCTCATGTGGTGTGCCCTCTGTGTGTGTCTGTCGCACCTCTCGTCTCCCCTGTTGCTCTCCATGTCCCTCACTGTGCAGATCAGCTCCACACCACTGAACGACCACACTCACGATGATGACGTGCCGTCTGCTGTGCGCCCTGTTGTTGCTTGCCCTGTGCTGCTGCCCATCCATGTGCGCGACAGCGTCTGATGAAGGTACAGCTGGTAAATTTGTAGAGGGTGCAACGCTACAGGATTCAGGGGGTTCAAGCAATTCCGATAATCCAGGAGCAAAAGTCACGGAAGATAATGAACAGAGTTCAGTTGTGGTGCCCAATTCGTCAGAGAGAACATCGAAGACCACTACTGCTCCAGCAACTCCAACGTCGACAGGTACAGGAAAAGGACCAAGTGGAGCGACCACTTCGCAAGATGGAAGAGGTGCGTCTGGTCAACCAGGGGCATCAGAAGGGAATAGCCTTTCACTAGGATCAACAGGTGATTCCGACAAGTCAGATGAAAATAATCCGGAGCATAATAAAGAAGAGGCGCTAGCTGGTAAAGAAGTTGAGGAACCGGCACCAACCACGACAACCACAACTACAACAATGGCACCAACTACTACAACCGCCACTACTACAGAGGCACCAAGTGATACGGCCATGAATGCAGAGGCGCCAACAACGACGACCACCCGCGCACCGTCACGTCTTCGCGGAAGCGACGGCAGCCTCAGCAGCTCTGCGTGGGTGTTTGCCCCGCTGCTGCTCGCCGCAACCGCGCTGGCGTAAACCACTCTGGGCTGAAGAATTGTGTATGCGGGCTGTGCGTGCCAGCACTCAACCGCGGGGATTTGTATACGTCTATTGTGGTCCGATGTAACTAAATAATAGAAAATAATGATTGTGTTTTGCTTTACTTGCTTCCGCTGCCCTGCTGTGCGCTCCGTGTTACTGCTCCCTGTATCCGTCACGTTGAACGCATCCCGGACACACTTATATGCACGACACGCATACAAATTTTTACGTGGACGCATGTTTGCTTGTGGATGCTTGCACAATGGCGCCATACTGTGCAGCTCCTTTTATTAAAGTTTCTTGTTTCTTTTTTAGTTTTGTTTTTAATTGTTGTGTTTTTCTTTTTTTCTTGCTGATTAGTTATTGCAGGACTGTGTTTGTGTGCCTTTTTTGCCCTCTCACTGATTCCAACTGCCTCATGGTGTGTGCGTTGCTGCTATCATTTGTTACTGTGTGTGGTTGTGTGACTTGTCTCTCTCTTTTTGCTTTCACTCTGCGTTGACGGGATGTTGGTTTGTGCTGAAGGCTGCACGCAAGTGACAGGAGTGATGGCGATGATGATGACTGGCCGTGTGCTGCTGGTGTGTGCCCTCTGCGTGCTGTGGTGCGTCACTGTTTTTGGTGATGCAAGGGACAACCGCTGCATTGAGGGTGATGGGAACGTCTTGACGCACACGCATAATGGAGGAAATAACGGACTGCGCCTGAAGGCGGGTTGCGGGTTGATTTCCACCCGAATGGGATTGATAAATGCGGTTGCAGCTGGAGACGGCAGTGAAGGTGGAACTAGTAATGCCCCATTGGACAGTGTGGGAGGAACATCGCCTGGTGCAGGAGGAGGGAATGGTGCCGCAGGTGCAGCAACACCAACCTCGCCGTCTGGGCCTGGAGTGTCAGGGGCAGGTGATGAAGGCGGGCAGTTACCTTTGGCTGGTCAAGAGGAAAATAAAAAAAATAAAGTGGATCCCAATAGCAATGCGGCAGCTGGGCCCCCAGACCAAACCAACGATCAATTGTCCTCTTCATCTGGCAGCACTCCCACTCGTTCTGGTGAAAACCCCTCTTCGATGGGTACTGATGACCTTACTCCACTGTCCAAGGATACAGAGACAGAAGGAGATGCCGATCGTCAGGATAACCGTGAAAGTAACGAAGCGGTAGAGGAAGAGGATGGGAACAAAGACAAGGAAAAAAAACAAGAAAAAAACACATTACAACCCGAGACACAAGAGGGTCAAAATAATGGAGGAGGAACACCACCGCCACCAGTACCCGCACCACTGCCACCAACAACACCATCGGGTGGACCTGCACCATCATCAACAGCAGAAACAGAAAACTTACAGAACGAAAACACACCGTCAGAATTCGAGACGGACTCAGAAGCACCGGAACAGCCTTCAGGGGATGCTACACAAGGGCAGCACAGTCATGACACAGACACAGAGGATCCGACGAAGAATGCAGCAACCGGCAGTCCAGCTGAACCAACAACATTCTCATCTACCTCTACAAGTGGCAGCGGTGATCATGTCCAGAATAAGGCAGATAAGGATGATGCTCAAAGCTCTGAAGGACAACACGACAGCCTTGAAACTGGCAATACCAACGTTGTTCCAACACTCAGTGAGACAGCACCACAAACAGCAAAAACAACCACCGCCGCTCAAAAAAATGGTACGACGACACCTGCCGACAGTGACAGCAGCACCGCGGTCTCCCACACCACCTCCCCTCTTTTGCTTCTTCTTCTTCTTGTTGCGTGTGCGGCTGCTGCTGCGGTGGCCGCGTGAGAGTGAGGGAGAGAGAGCCGTGCACCGCCCGCACACACACTCGTCCTTCTCTCCCTCTCTGTGTGTGTGTCCCCTTGCATGGACTCTCGCCCTCACCTCACCCCACGAAGCACACACATAATGTGCCCATTGTATATATTGCATGCACACCCATGCAGGCCCGTTGGTGCTCTCTTTTGCACGACACGCACTGCTGCCGTCCTGCCTGGCTGCATGGGCGGAGCACCGTAACTGTTTTTGTTTTGTTTTTATTGCATTGAGTGGGCGACCTCTCTCTCTTTCTCCCTGTGTGTGTATTTTACTTTACGGGAGCAATGAGAGTGTGTGCGCTGGTCGTCCCACGCTTCGGCTTTTTGTTTTTTTTTATTGTTTTACTTGTGTTGTGGTTGAGTGCACTCATTAACCTTTTTTTTTGTGGATTATTGGCTTGCTTTGACTGCGGACACTTCAATTTTTGTTTTATTTTATTTTATTGTTTTTGTTGATGAAGTGCTAGCCTCTTGTATCCTTGTCAAGCCATTAACATTGTCTTTGACTTTTGGCGTGCGTCCGTTGATCCACGTCACCCCACGGTCTGCGCCGCTACTGGTGCTGCTATTGATGATCTGTGCGATGTGGTTTGCCAGCGGACGTCTTGCTTTCGCCCTGAAGTATTCCTTATTTCTTGACGATGTGTTCTGCTCCGACGGCGAGGTTCTCGTTTACGGTGGGGAGAATGCATCCCAGGGTGCAGGACGCGTTGCAGTTGTGCAGCGTCGTCTGGAAGGACCCATGGGTGCCCATAGGCATTAAGGCATCAACAACAGACCCGTGTGACAGCAGGAGGCACTGCGGCTTCTCCCGGTCTCACGCAATGGTTTCATTGAATGACAATCGCCACTGTGAGGATGGTGTTCTATCCTCTGCGCACGGTAACATCCTTGCCGAGGAGACTATCCCTGCTGCTGCGTAACTGCATGCGGATCGTCTGCTCGTCCAGCCACTGGAGGGTCCGTTGATTGTGCCCCCATTTGCCACGGGCAGCGTTTGCAGTCGGTTCACGGTGACTGCTGGGCATCCTTCCACTGGTGTTGCCAATTCTGACATGGTGCAGTACGTGGCTGCAGCGTTGGTTGTTGCGTGATCACTGCAGTGCGCCACACTGGAGGATGGCCGTCCAGTCGCTGGCGCCATGAACTTTGCTAGGCCTTTTTATTTCACTGACGCATCGCCACCCGCATCGCCGCGCACCTGTTGGCCCATGCTGTCGGGTTCAACTGCCCGCACATGGCAGGCCGCAGCATGGTGAGGAATGTTGCCGGTGTGCGTGGCAGAGCGCTGTTGGTGGTGGACTCGACGAATGCCGCGATGGCTGCGAGGGAGCACCACGACTGCGACGACATTGATGGCGTGGAGCTGCAGGATGACGATGGGGACGGGAGGACGCTGGAGTCGCACTGGTCGCGGCGCCACGCGAGGGATGAGTGGATGGCACCGATTGTGGGCGCCGGCGACTGCAGAGGAAGTGCTCCGCACTGAACATGAGTGAATATCCCCACATGCTCTGCGACGTGGGTGTCCCTGTCAAACGCTGCGCGTCGGACTGGTATTCCAGTGGTCGCTGTGCAGACGGAGTATCCATGAAATGTCAGCAAAACGCCCGATGGGCCGTTGCCCCATCACTGATCCCGCACTGGATGTGAGGGATATTGACGCTGTTATTTGGAGGGGAGAATATTTGTCTGCGATGCCTGGGGATGAGCCCTCTTCGTGGTGTCTGGACACGCTTCCCAACAACACGACGGATGCGAGGGACTCGGAGGAGACATACCTCAGTGCTGCAGTGCATGCGGCATTGAGGTGCCTCAGCATGCATTTGCATCTGGAAGTGACTGAAAAGGGTAACGTCCGTTGTGTTCCATGCACGGACGGGGCGACGGTTGCGTGGGCCACTCGACCCTGCGATGGGGGGACCGTTATTTGCCGTGACCACGCGCAGTTGTGCACGATATCTTTCACCAGCGCTAGCCTACTTCCAATGGTTCCGTGGGACGGCGAGGAGAGAGCATGTGGAGCAGGACGGTTTCACCGGCATCTACTGAACAAGGATTGCCAGGGGCATCCGTCCCCGTTGCGGAGAGCATTGAGACCGGCCGCGGCACACCACCGAAAGATGTAGACACGGCTGCTCTCCAGAAGCGTCCGTTGACAGAGGAGAAGTGGATCCGGCCAGGATGCCCCGACAGACCGCAAGAAGCTTCTCTCGGTGGCAGGGATCGAAGCAGCGAGACGGACGGCAGGCAGGACACGTCTCCGACTCTCGGTGATGACACTGCTGCCGCTGCTTGTCCCTGTCCGCTGCTTCTTCTGCTTGCCTCTGCTGCCGCCGTGGCAACACTCCATCGAGTTGCGGTGTGGATGGCGTTGCGCTGCAAGGTGACTGCGCTTCCTCCTGCTTGGCCTGCACCCAGCATTGTATGTCCAATAGGAAAATATTCATTTCAATGGGTCCCTTTCTCCATATGCATGTGCTGTGTCCGCTCCGTTTTTGTGTTTGAAATTGGTGGTATTTCCGATGCACACAGGTCTTCTTGTGTTGGTTGACGATGTGGGGGGCACCAGATGGTAGTATGGCATTGCTTGTGTGTTTGTTAGATTTTCTGAGACGCAAATACACACACCGGTGCGAGTGAAATGTGCGCACACAAGAGACACACACACGCATATCCAATCACATTGTCTGTGTGGCTTCTAATTGACATATTATGCGGGGCGGGTTGGTGCGGTCAATGCCGACGGAAGCGGGCAGCCGCGTGAGCCCAGCAATGGCGTTCGTGGTTGTGTGCGGGATTATATATTCCATCAGATGCTTGACGCCGTTCATGGATCGTCTAAAGTTTTTCTCTGCGATGCCCATGCTGCGTCTGCGCTGAGCTGCTCACTGCGTCTTCATGACCTCATGGGGCACGACATGACGCTGCTCGAGGACCTCATGACACCGAGGCAGCCGATTATGAGTAGCCCTGCGCCCTACTTTTTCCGTGGAGGATGCGTTTGTGAGCCGCGTGGTTGAGGATTGGATGGCAAAGGTTCCTTACAGGGATGTACACATCTTTGCGTTGGGGTGCACCCCGCATCGCAGTCCTCAGCAACTCGAGTGGGCTCGGATAGCGCCGAGGGCGATGCGTTCCAAGGAAATGGTGTTAGACTTTACTGCCCCTGAGGTGCTGGTGTTCCACCTCAGCATGCAGAATGGGTTCCCTCAGCTGCTGTCGCCTCCGAATTGAGAGTCCGTTGTGGATGTTGCGGCGTCACGTCCTGTGGCGGCTTTTCACGCCATGAACAACGGTGTGCCTGTCATTCGCTACCAAAAGAGAGGCAGCATCTGCCATGGGCATGCCGGGACCTTCTTTGAGGGCTTGCCAGGCAATACCACGACGAGCCGGATTCCAATTAGGGGCGCCGACAGTTGCGGCAACCCGGTGCGGATCATCGTTGATTGGGGCTGTGTCACGGTGACGCCGCTGATGCACCAACGCACATGTCAGTGCCTGCTTGATGACTTGATGCCGCTGGAGAATAACTTGTATGAGCAGACCTGTAGGAATTGTCTGGGGGTGGACTCGAAGCGGCAGTAATTGATGAGGAAGATGTGTACTGGTGCTCCTGCCGTCATTGATTCCTTGCGCAGTGCGTGGAGGAGCCTTCGGTGGCGCTGAAAAAACTCCACGCGTATCACCCGGGATTGGCGCATGGCGTGGAGCCGAAGGCCAAGCTTGTGAGGTTGGGCAGTGCGGTGCGGGCTCCGCCGGAGTTTCGGGAGAGGCAAGCCAGACTGTCGCTGCACATCGATTTTTGCGCGAGGCTTTTGGCACAGTACCGGGAGAAACGACTGGCGGAGGTGCGGGAGGTGGAACAAGACATCGCCGTTGGGCACAAAACCTTCAGGAAAAACCTGGATGGCGTACAGCAACTGACGAGGAATGCCGCGATGCCCCGTCCAGTGCGTCTGCGTCTTTTCCTGTTGCTTGTGGCTGCGAGCAGCACCGACGAGTTGACGGAGGCCAAGAAGCAGCAGCCGATCCGAGACGGTGGGCTGACGCCCGACGCCCATTTGTCCGCGAACCTTGAGCATGTGATGAGGAGGGCCGGGAGCGTGCAACGATACAGCACGGCGTCGGCGCAGAGCGAACGGAGCACGGGTGCCTCTGCGAGCAACGCCGCGACGGACGGGTATCCGTTTCTGAAGCAGGCCTGTATGCTTATGGAGACGGCGGACAGGAATAGGACGCTGCGGGTTGGGCTGTCGTTGGCATCGATGGAGGGCGATCATGTGATAGGGCCAAATGGCGCGAGTGGTGGCCAAAACAGTGGAGAAGCAGGAAAAAACGCCGGGCCATTTCAAGGGTGTGGTGGCAAATGGGAGAATCATCCTGTTCTGGGTGGCGGTGGCGGTGTTGGGACGATTGCCCTCACAACTCCTCAGCGCATTGTGCTGCTTGTTTTGGGTGGTGTGGCCTGCAGCGAGAGGCGCTCGGTCCATGAGATATCCAAAAGGTATGGCCGTGAGGTGGTCATTGGGAAACCTCGCTGCTGCGTCCTGAGTCCTTTGTGTGCAGGGACTTGGCATCCTACGGCAGTAGGACTTACGGGCGAGGCACGCACAGGAATGCATCGAGGGCCAAAGAGTGGAACAGATGCAACCACACACGATTGCGGGTGTCCATGGGGATTGTGTGCGCTTCTTCCTGCATTCCGTTCCTCTCCAAGAAGCGTTTCATACGATGCGCGTGTGTGTGTTTCAACGGCTGCGCTGCTCGCCTTTTGCTTTTGTTTTTTTGCGTGTGCGGTTGCAGGCCATTTCTCTGCTACGAAGAGTGCGGTTAAAAAAGGAAGGACATTTGTGGAGCATGCACCCACGGCTTCAGTGTTCATCCACTGATGCTGACCTTTCTTGCCAGGGCATTTGTGCGCGCTTTTCCCTGCATTATCACTTTTTTTTTGCACAGGAGGCAACGGGTGGGCATTCGTGAGTGCTGCGGCGGGCTGTTGTTGCCCTCGCCGGGACGCGCTTAACGGCGGCAGCTCCATGACTTTGTGCACAAAAGGAATGGAACGTTCTTTGGATTCTCACCGCAGGCGCATGCCGTGGACGGCCGAAAAGGAGTGTGTGCCCGGTGTTGTTCATAGCTCCAGGGAAAAGATGGTGTTGGATGGCGCACGACGAGTGGATGTGGATTGTGTCGACCGTGCATCGCAGGTGTATCCGCTGGAGGCATTGCGGGCGGCCGTGGCCAGTTAAGAGTACAATACGTCCACCGGAAGAACATTTTTTAATTGGCTTCTCAGGCGGAATCCAATGTACTCAGGCAATGGGTTTACTGCAAGGGGTGGCAGGAGGGGACGTACGATGAGGACGCCACCAGCACCGCCATTCATTTTCGTCGCCGCGAGACCACAACGCAGCCTCATGAGACTACACGCCTTGCGGATTTTCCGGGGTGGCACGCACTGTTCCGCTTGGCGTCACTGTTCCCCATCCCGAGCTTCGGTGCAGACTCCCTCGTCGATGCAAGTTCCTATCGCTTGCGGACACACACTCATTGATTGATGCGGCCGACACCCCAGCCCATTGCTGGTGCTTCTGGCATGACTGCTGCACCGCCCCCAGCAGCTGGTGCAGCGGGACTGGGGACGAGAACACAGCTGAACAAGTTCATTCAGATGGTGCTGGCAGCCCTGTCAGCGTCCCGCCGACTCCACCGGCGAGCACAGAAAACGACGGGACAGGGAAGGCATCGACGAAGTGTCAGGACACCAGTTGTTTTTTCACATCACTCTCAGTCAAACAACCGGAAGAATTAACGACAACATCAGTCACCAACAATGACAAGGGAACAACGACCACCGCCGACAGCGACAGCAGCACCGCGGTCTTCCACACCACTTCTCATCTTTTGCGTCTTATTTTCAGTTATGAAGCGGCAGCTGCGATGGCGTCCAGGCCTGCATGAAGTGGTGTGCGCTGAATATGAACGAAGACCAAAGGCAACTGAATTATTCCTGTGATGAATATTGGCTGCACTTCCCGTGGACCATCAATTCACGTGGTGTGCGGGGATCTCTCCTTTTTAATTGTTACTATGCTTTTGTGTTGCTGTGTGCGCTGCACCTCCTCTTGTGTGTGTGTGTACCCTCCGTGAGGGGTGCCGACACGACGGACCGCTCTCGCCGTATGTGCATGCGGTGGAGCCTTGTGTGCCGCTCCTGTTTGCTTCTCCCTCTTCCATCTGTGTGTTGGTGTTGCGGCAGGGCTGTGTGTGTGTGTGCCTGTTGCCGTGGATTGGAGTGTGTGTCGTGCGTGGTGTGCGGCGTACGGTGCATGCCTGGCTGCTGTCCTCTCTTCATGTGGTGTGCCCTCTGTGTGTGTGTCTGCCGCACCTCTCGTCTCCCCTGTTGCTCTCCATGTCCCTCACTGTGCAGATCAGCTCCAAACCACTGAACGACCACACTCACGATGATGACGTGCCGTCTGCTGTGCGCCCTGTTGGTGCTCGCCCTGTGCTGCTGCCCGTCCGTGTGCACCTCAGAGTCTCCGGAGGAGAATGTTGATGATTCCAGGACGACGACGAACACGACAACACAGCCACCAACCGCTAACGGGCCGTCTGGCGCTGATGAAAGCGTCAACAGTCGTTCTTCTAATTCAGAGTCAGGACCACGGGTGGAAGGTGAGTCAGGGTCGCCAGGCACGGGGGCCACTGCGGGAAAATCAGCAAATAGTGCGCCAGAGACACCAGGCTCTACCGGTCCGGAAAAGCAATCAAAGGAAGCTTCCAGTGCAGTACAGTCAAATGGTACGAACGGTGCGACAGAGCCACCAAGTCCCACGGATCCTTCTTCAGACAAAGCAGATCAGGGAGTCGAAGTTTCTGCCGAGACGACTACTACAACTACGACAACGACAACTACGACGACAACCACCACCACCACAAAGGCACCAAGTATTACGACTACAACAGAGGCGCCAACTACGATGAGCACCCGCGCACCGTCACGTCTTCTCGAAATCGACGGCAGCCTCAGCAGCTCTGCGTGGGTGTGTGCCCCGCTGCTGCTCGCCGTATCCGCGCTGGTGTACACCACTCTGGGCTGAAGAGGTGTATGCGGGCTGTGCGTGCCAGCACTCAACCACGGGGATTTGTGTGCGTCCACTGTGGTCCGATGAAACTAAATAAATACGAGAAAATAATGATTGTGTTTTGCTTTGTTTGCTTCTGCTGCCCTGCTGTGTGCTCCGTGTTGCAGCTCCCTGTATCCGTCACGTTGAACGCATCCCAGACACACTTATATGCTCAACATGCACACAACTGTTTGCGTGGACGCATGCTTGCATGTGGATGCATGCACAATGGCGCCATACTGTGCGGTTCCTTTTATTAAATTTTTTGTTGCTTTTTTACTTGTGTTTTTAATTGTTTTCTTTTTTTTATTGCTGATTAATTACTGCAGGACTGTGCATTTGCCTTTTGTGCCCTCCCACTGATTCCAACTGCATCATAGTGTGTTTGTTGCTGCTTCTGGGCTGCTGCCATTTGTTACTGTACGTGGCTGTGTGACTTGTTTCTCCCCTTTTGCCTTTGCCTTCCACTTTGCGTTGACGGGGTGTTAGTTTGTGCTGAAGGCTACACGCAAGTGACAGGAGTGATGGCGATGATGATGACTGGCCGTGTGCTGCTGGTGTGTGCCCTCTGCGTGCTGTGGTGCGGTGCCGGATGGGTTTATGCGGGAGACGTCGAGAACAACGCAGGGGAAGGTTTCATGGCGTCGGGAGTTTTGGGTGTGAATCGGTTGCGTGTGCCAAGCGTATGTGGTAAGGTTGCGATCACGCTGCCCTCGCGTATGGTCTCGTTCATCACCGCCGCTGAAGCCTCGACTAACGATGATGCTTCTGGTATTATTGGAGGTAATCCAGACTCACCTTCAGGTGCTGGTGCCGCTGCCGGTTCTGTTTCTGGTGGTGCAGGTGGAGCTGGAGGTAGTGGAGGAGGCGGTGGAACTTCTGGTGGCAGTGGCAATTCTGCTGGCGGAAGTGACGGTAACAGGGACACAACTGAAGATCCTACAGGTGTTGGTGGTGGTTCTTTGCAGTCTCCTCCTTCAGTTGACCCTAATTCATCTCGCATTCCCAATGAGGTTGGTGAGTCACAGAACACAGAAGTTTCTTTATCCCCTGAGGAGACGATATCTCCTGAAGCAGCTGCGGAGTCGGGACCAACAGCGTCTCCAGGGAATACACCACCCAAAGTGGAGACAGCGGATAAATCGAAACCCAAAGAAGAAGAGAAAGGGCTCTCCGTCACACAAGCAGCAGCACCAATTTCAGTTAATGGTGAGGCTTCAACTGGAGAACAGAATCAGCACAATGATGTGGGGAAGGTGGACCATTCCAGCAACCAAACACCACCGCCAGTACCGCCATCGGCGGTGACAACACCAGGTCTATCAAAAGAACCGGCACCTCCAGCAACAGAAGCATCACCAAGCGATGGAAGCCTGCCAGCACCAAATGTCCCACAGACTGCAAAAGATCAAGAACAAAAAACGTCAGTGTTAACAATTAAAATGGAGTCCAATGCACCGGAAATTCCTTCAGAGGATAATGTGGTACAGCAACAAGGACAAAACACAACCACAGAGGAATTGATGGAAAATTCATCTCGCGGCAGTCAAGCGGAAACAACGACATCATCCATATATACAAGTGGCACTGGGGAAGCCCAGAGTACGGCGGATGCGGATGATGCTCAACGGCCCAACCCCAGTGAATCACAGAACGATCTTGAAGGCAGTGATACCAACAATTCTTCTAAAACAGATGAGGTAGCACCTCAATCAGCAATAACACTCACCACCGCTCAAAAAAATGGTACGACGACACCTGGTGACAGCGACAGCAGCACCGCGGTCTCCCACACCACCTCCCCTCTTTTGCTTCTTCTTGTTGTTGCGTGTGCGGCTGCTGCTGCGGTGGTGGCCGCGTGAGAGTGAGGGAGAGAGAGCCGTGCACCGCCCGCACACACACTCGTCCTTCACTCACTCTCTCTGTGTGTGTGTCCCCTTGCATGGACTCTCGCCCTCACCTCATCCCACGAGGCACACACATAATGTGCCCATTGTATATATTGCATGCACACCCATGCAGGCCCGTTGGTGCTCTCTTTTGCACCACACGCACCGCTGCCGTCCTGCCTGGCTGCATGGGCGGAGCACCGTAACTGTTTCTGTTTTGTTTCCATTGCATTGAGTGGGCGACCTCTCTCTCTCTCTGTTTGTGTGTTTTGCTTTACGGGAGCAATGAGAGTGCGTGCGCTGGTCGTCCCACGCTTCGGCTTTTTGTTGTTTTGTAAATTTAATTTTTTTTTCTGCTTGCATTTCAATACTTTTTTCAAATTCATTTTGTGTTTTTTTTTCTTCTCACTCCAAACATCGCTCTTTTCTTCTTTTGCTTTCGGGGGGCAATCAATATGGACGTTTCTTTTCTTTTCTACTCTTCCCTCTTTTAATTGTTTCTTCTGCACTCTTCCTGTGAGGGGTGCCGTGTGTTTCCCGCCCAACTGCTCCACTCGCACACCCACCGACACGCTCATGAAGACGGCCCTGTGCGCCTCGCCTGCTGCACGCATGAGGAGGGGCCGCGACGAACGGCGCGCTGAGGGAGCCGTGACGTGTGAGCGTGCGACGAGGGCCTGTGGGGCGGAGCACACATTTCTTTCCCTCTTGTTTTGTTTTCTTGCGGCCAGGGCGGGCAGACACCCGCAGCGCCACGCACACACAGCCACACCCTGCCGCCGTGTTGTTTGCTTTTTTTTTTGTTCTTCTTTTTTTTGTGGATGTGTGTGTGCTGCCACCGTGCGTGATTGTTGAGGTTGTGGCCGTACCGCATGCATCGCTGCCATCCAGCTGTGCCTCTTGCTGTGCTGATGTGCCTCCCTGTGCTCCTCCTCTTTGCAGCTTCTCCAACAGACACCCACACACATATGAGTAGTTGCACAGTGCTCTGCAAGAACGCTTTTGGTAACGAGGGACGTTGGCTGACGTTCCGTGCTGAAATGATGACGCGGCTGCACGATGGCCTTCTCCGGCGATGAAAGTCGCTGTGTTCTCGGCACACACATCTACACACTCTTCCTTGTCTCTCTGTGGGGGTGATTGCAGCAGCAGCGTGGTCTACGGCAGCGGCAGCTGGAGCCTTGGAGAGGGACGAGGCGCGGAAGAAGCAGAAGAGGGCGAACCTGCTGGACGAGATTACGATGGCGGATGAAAGCTGTTTCGTTGCCTGTGCTTCGTACATTGCTAAGAGTGCGCCGTGTCGCCGCCTGACGGGATGCCTGCACTCGGCACCCTTCGAGACATGGTGCTGTTTCATTCAGTGTGATGTCACAATCATCATGGCAGCACCTTTCTTCACTGGCCTTGAGTGTAAGAATACAAATGGCGGCAAATAGAGCGATGAGGATTATGGTGACGACTTGCACCGGGGGGCGGATTATTTGCGTGTCTTTGCACACGAATCCCAGGAGGGTTTGAATGCCGTCCCCACAATTCCCGGCCTCGCGGAACCGTTGGCTTTCGCGCTGTCACCCACCGTAATTAGTGCCCCATGCGTTGAGGCTGATCCATTTACCGTGGAGTTCACGCAGCAGGTCTCGAGTGGTTGTGCTGCTGGTCCCGCGTTGGCTCTTTCGCATGTATCTCAGCGTTGCCTGGCGGATGATTTGATGTCTGTGTTGTCCAGGCCGCCTCGGGTTTTCTTTTTGTGCCCAATAAGAAACACTTTGCGTTGCGGTGGATATTTACTTGCGTGGCCGTCGATGCCTGTGACGATGCTCAACGGGTGTGTCTTTTGTTTGGTGGGCACGAGGGAGACTTCGGTGTGTGTCGACGCCTCCGCGAAAGAATTCGTTGACGGATGGAGGCGAAAATAAGGGAGGTCTGTCCGCTGCATCTCTCAAGGCAGCTGCGGGGCACTCCGGACGCACAGAGTGAATGGATGGATGCCGCGCAGCTGGGGAGACCAGTTTTCTTCTCCGCCCTCCGTTGCCGGTGGAATCGAGAATCCACAGCGTCACTGCCAGCTGCATTTTACTGCTGGGGATCGACTGTTCTGAAGTTGCCCGTCTAATGTGAGTTGCAGCGCCAATGCAGGAAGACGCTTTCACGCATTGCGAGTATTTGCTCCAGCCTCGAGCTCATCAATATCCACAGCAGGGAGCAATGCATCTTGGTGGCCGGTGACGTTCAGACGAGTTTGTTTCACTTCACCCGCCTCGTATTTGTGAGGGACACTGCGCATCGACCCTCCCCAACAGTCCCATCACCTTCACTTTCCCCCGCCGACCGCTGCCATCTGCTGACGGTACAGTTGCTTGGCTCCGCCAATAATGCGCTTGCGAAACGTCCTCTCCGCACGCTGCAGGATTATTGCCGTGGAGGAGTTGATGGCATATGGTGCGGGTGTGGCGTCGACGGAGTCATCCACGCATTGTCTTAGAAACATGACTCTGAGTCGTGTCAGTCATGCCGTGTTTCCTTTTTTTTGTTGGGAGTCTTGTGGGTGTGTTTGAGCCCTTTTAGGAGCCTGTGTAGAGAATGATCGCGGGAGAGCTGGCTGCCTTAATGAATGTATATATATATACACCCTGATAGAACGAATATACACTTCTTTACGACACTTTTCTACCGTATGAGTTTTGGGAAGGCCACAACTTTAGGGAGCCGACAGCGGCCGGATAATTTTTTATTTTTATTTTTACCATCGCACCCACCCCCTTTTGTTTCTCACCACGCGGCGGTGTCTTGTGGCTGCAGGACCCCAAAAGTCTGCCACCTCGTAAGTAATAAATAAATATATGTATCCTATCCGAATAGAGTGAGCGGGCCACGATTGTGGCTAACGGATGGTATATATATATAAACATGCATTTATTTGCCTCGTGTTGAACTTTGAGGATGCGGTGAACCCACTCTTATTCCGTTGATCCCTCACTTATTTCTATCTTGTATGGTTTCTATTATTGAGAAACTCAGGATTTGGCCAGCGGCCCAGAAGATTATTCTTTATTGCATCACCTTATCAAAGAGAAGCAGGAACAACACAAACCGAATTGTTGGCTGCACCAACACAAGAAACATTCACAAGAGGAAAGAAACAAATAATTGTGCACCCTGCAGAAATCCCCAACACACGACCCAGGCATGAAGGTTTGCCCTCTGCAAAAACAAAACAAAAACGCATGCAGGCATCTGCCAACATCCAAACAGAAACACAAATAAATGATTGCTTGCTTTGTGCCATTCCTTGCGCTTGTTTTTTCGTGTGCTGCTGCTGCTGCGATGGTTGTTGGGCCTGCATGAAGTGGTGTGCGCTGAATATGAACGAAGACCAAAGGCAACTGAATTATTTTTGTGATGAATATTGACTGCACTTCCCGTGGACCATCAATTCACGTGGTGTGCGTGGATCATTCCTTTTTAATTGTTACTTTGCTTTTGTGTTGCTGTGTGCGTTGCAACTCCTCTTGTGTGCGTACCCTCCGTGAGGAGTGCCGACACGACGGACCGCTCTCGCCGTATGTGCATGCGGTGGAGCCTTGTGTGCCGCTCCTGTTTGCTTCTCCCTCTTCCATCTGTGTGTTGGTGTTGCGGCAGGGCTGTGTGTGTGTGCCTGTTGCCGTGGATTGGAGTGTGTGTCGTGCGTGGTGTGCGGCGTACGGTGCATGCCTGGCTGCTGCCCTCTCCTCATGTGGTGTGCCCTCTGTGTGTGTTTCTGCCGCACCTCTCGTCTCCCCTGTTGCTCTCCATGTCCCTCACTGTGCAGATCAGCTCCACACCACTGAACGACCACACTCACGATGATGACGTGCCGTCTGCTGTGCGCCCTGTTGGTGCTCGCCCTGTGCTGCTGCCCTTCCGTGTGTGCGACAGCAAGTGAAATTAAACCTCAACAAGAGGCCGATTTGCCGGCCACTGACTCACAAGCGCAGGAAAAGCTTGGTGAGGTACGGGATTCAATTAAGGATCCTGATGCAATACTGAAAGGAAATGCGGCGTCCGGAATAGGACAGAATGCAAATGGGGCGCCCTCCAGTAAATCAGAACCATCAGTTCCGAAGTTGAATGCGTTAGGGGTGGAAAGTCCGAAGGACGTTCAGGATCAGGCACGTGCTGGGGTCACTGAGACGGCAAAACAAGGAAAAGTAAAGCCCCTTAATCCAGAAGCAACAGGCAAATCCGGTGAGCAGCAGTCAACAAGTGTGAATGCCATAATGAAGGTATCAGGTAGCGATATCACTGCCGCAACCACGACAACTACGACCACAACGACAACCACCACCACCACAAAGGCACCAAGTATTACGACTACGGCGGCGCCAACCACGACGACCACCCGCGCACCGTCACGTCTTCGCGAAATGGACGGCAGCCTCAGCAGCTCTGCGTGGGTGTTTGCCCCGCTGCTGCTCGCCGTATCCGCGCTGGCGTACACCACTGTGGGCTGAAGAAGTGTATGCGGGCTGTGCGTGCCAGCACTCAACCACGGGGAATTGTATGCGTCTACTGTGGTCCGATGTAGATAAATAAGAGAAAATAATGATTGTGTTTTACTTCATTTGCTTCCGCTGCCCTGCTGTGTGCTCCGTGTTGCTGCTACCTGTATCCGTCACGTTGAACGCATCTCAGACACACTCATATTCATTGCACGCACACAACTGTTTGCGTGGAATCACATTTGAGGATGGGTGCGTGCGCACCGGAGCCATACTGTGCAGCCCCTTGTTTTTTGTGTGTTTTTACATTTTTTACTTCAGTGCTGTTTGTTTACCTGTGTTTTGTTTTTAATTGCTTTGTGTGTTTTTTCTGTTTACTTGCTGCGGGGCTTTGTGTGTGTTTTTTGCCTTCCCACTGTTTTCAACTGCCTCATAGTGTGTGCGTTGCTGCTTCTGGGCTGCTATCATTTGTGACTGTGCGGTGGCTGTGTGTGGTGTAGCGGCCGTGTCTCTTCTTTTTGCTTTCACGCTGCGTTGACGGGGCGTTAGTTTGTGCTGAAGGCTGCACGCAATTGACAGGAGTGATGGCGATGATGATGACTGGCCGTGTGCTGCAGGTGTGTGCCCTCTGCGTGCTGTGGTGCGGTGCCGGCGGTAGATGTACTGAAGGCGGTGAGACACCTGTTGAGGGTAAACTCGGTAATACTGCGAGCGGTGCTGAAGTTCTGCAAGCAAAACCCGAGACGGCAGAATCAGGCATTCCGGGAACGCAACCACAAGTACCAATAGATAATGAGGAAGCAAAACGCCTAATTGGAGAGGGATCTTTGGAAGGAAGCGAAGATAACGTTGTTGCAGACACAGAAGATCTTTCTGAAGACGATGAAGGAGGTGAGGAAGAAGGAAATGAGGAAACCCAAAGAAAAAAATTGAACGGAAGACAGGAGGAACATGAAGAAAAGGGACCTGCAAGTGGCCTTGACACCTCGAACGGGTCGTCAATTGAGAGTCAGCTACAAACGCTCCAGACAAATTCATCTACAGGTAGCAGTCCTCCTTCCAGTAGTCTGAAAGCGATTCCCGATCCCACGCAAACAGGAATTAAAGAAAACGGCGTCTCCGTTACAAATCCACCGACAGATGAAGAAACACTCAAAGAAGATACCAGAGACAACGTACCACATGGTGGACTTGCGAAATTAACTCTTCCGCCTCCTCCAGAAGACAGTGCTGCTGCCAGTGGAATTTTTGCCGAATACAAGAAAGACGAAGGTCAACAAGATGCTAATTTGCATAGCACTGCGACCACAGTACAAGACAGCCAGGACGACACTACGAAAAACACTAAGAAAGAAACAATACCAACCGCTATAAAAACTGATACTGAGACTACACAGCACAATGACAGCAGCCCAGCAGAACTAACGGCCCCGCAGTCTGACGCTGGTGCGGAGAGCACTCCGTCGACCAATTATTCAGGGCATTCATCCACTGAGGACGCTGCACGGCTCAGTGAGACCAACGATGCTGAAGACGCATTAGGCAGCACAGAGAATGCGGACTCTAAGATTGCAGAAACCGAAAAGGCGCCTCTCGCCACCGCCAACACAACTGACACGACGAACACACAAAACGGTGACGGCAGTACCGCGGCCTCCCACACCACCTCCCCTCTTTTGCTTCTTATTGTTGTTGCGTGTGCGGCTGCTGCTGCGGTGGTGGCCGCGTGAGAGTGAGGGAGAGAGAGCCGTGCACCGCCCGCACACACACTCGTCTTTCACCCACTCTCTGTGTGTGTCCCCTTGCATGGACTCTCGCCCTCACCTCACCCCACGAAGCACGCACATAATGTGCCCATTGTATATATGCATGCACACCCATGCAGGCCCGTTGGTGCTCTCTTTTGCACGACACGCACCGCTGCCGTCCTGCCTGGCTGCATGGGCGGAGCACCGTAACTGTTTTTGTTTTGTTTTTATTGCATTGAGTGGGCGACCTCTCTCTCTCTCTGTGTGTGTGATTTGCTTTACGGGAGCAATGAGAGTGTGTGCGCTGGTCGTCCCACGCTTCGGCTTCTTGTTTTATTGTTTTATTGATTTGTGGTTGCGCACTTACACTCCGCTTTTTTGATCGGCGGCATGTTTTGACTGCGATCACTTTAATCCTCTTTTGTCATTCCCATATTGTTTTTCTTGTTGCTGGGGAGGGTTTCAGTCTCTCGTAATCTTGCCAAGCCACTCAGTGTTTCCTTCCGCGTGTGCCATGCGCCATTTTATCCACGTTGCCCGCGGCCAGCAGCGCTGCTTCTTCTGCTTGTGATGATGTTTGTGGTGTGATTTGTCAGTTGGTGCTTTTGTTTACCTTGATGTATCCTTTTTCTTTTGACGCTGCGATACGTCCGACGGCGCGTGGTTGATTCTCCTGATGGTGAGGGACATGCCTCTCAGAGTGCAGGATGCGTCGCGGGTGGACAGCGGCTTTGGGAAGGACCGACGAGTGGCAGTCCGCATCAATGTGTCAACAAGGGACTTAGATGACAGCAGGAAGCACTGCGGCTTCTCCTGGTCTCACGCAATGAATTCATTGAATGACAATCGCCACCGTGAGAATGGTGTTCTATCCTCTGCACACGGTAATATCGTTGCCGAGGAGACTGTCCCCGCTGCTGTGTAACTGCATGCGGATCGTCTGCTCGTCCAGCCACTGGAGGGTCCGTTGACTGTGCCCCCATTTGCCACGGGCAGCGTTTGCAGTTGGTTCACGGTGCCTGATGGGCATCGTTCCACTGGTGTTTCCAATTCTGTCATGGTGCTGTACGTGGCTGCAGCGCCGGGTGGTGTGTGGGCACTGCGGTGCGTCACGCTGGAGGATGGCCGTCCAGTCGCTGGCGCCATGCACTTTGCCTGTCAGTTTCATTTCACGGACGCATCGCCACCCGCATCGCCGCGCACCTGATGGCCCATGCTGTCGGGTTCAACTGCCCGCACATGGCAAAGTGCAGCATGGTGAGGCATGTTGCCGGTGTGCGTGGAAGAGCGCTGTTTGTGATGGTGCACTCGACGAATGCCGCGATGGCTGCGAGGGAACACCAATATTGCGGCGACACTGATGGCATGGAACTGCAGGATAACGATGGGGACGGGAGGACGCTGGAGTCGCACTGATCGCGGCGCCACGCGAGGGATGAGTGGATGGCACCGATTGTGGGTGCCGGCGACTGCAGAGGAAGTGCTCCGCACTGAACATGAGTGAATATCGCCACATTTTCTGCGAATCGGGCGTTCCTGCCAGACGCTGCACGTCGGACCGGTATTCCAGTGGTCGCTGTGTAGACGGAGTATCCATGAAATGTCAACAAAACGCCCGATGGACAGTTGTCCCATCACTGATCCCGCACTGGATGTGAGGGATATTGACGCTGTTATTTGGAGGGGAGAATATTTGTCTGCGATGCCTGGGGATGAGCCCTCTTCGTGGTGTCTGGACACGCTTCCCAACAACACGACGGATGCAAAGGGACTCGGAGGAGACATATTTCAGTGTTGCCATGCATGCGGCATTGAGGTGCCTCAGCATGCATTTGCATCTGGAAGTGACTGAAGAGGGTAACGTCCGTTGTGTTCCATGCACGGACGGGGCGACGATTGCGTGGGCCACTCCGCCCTACGATGAGGGGACCGTTATTTGCCGTGACCACGCGCAGGTGTGCACGATATCTGCCAGCAGCGGTAGCCTACTTCCAATGGTTCCGTGGGACGGCGAGGAGAGAGCATGTGGAGCAGGACGGTTTCACCGGCATATACTGAACAAGGATTACCAGGGGCATCTGTCCCCGTTGCGGAGAGCATTGGGACCGGCCGCGGCACACCACCGAAGGACGTAGACACGGCTGCTCTCCAGAAGCGTCCGTTGACAGAGGAGAAGTGGATTCGGCCAGGATGCCCCGACAGACCGCAAGAAGCTTCTCTCGGCGGCAGGGATCGAAGCAGCGAGACGGACGGCAGGCAGGACACACCTCCGAATCCCGGTGATGACACTGCTGCTGCTTGTCCCTGTCCGCTGCTTCTTCTGCTTGCCTCTGCTGCCGCCGTGCCAACACTCCATCGAGTTGCGGTGTGGACGGCGTTGCGCTGCAAGGCGACTGTGCTTCCTCCTGCGTGGCTCGGACTCAGCATTGGATGTCCAATAGGAAAATATTCATTTCAATGGGTCCCTTTCTCCATATGCATGTGCTGTGTCCGCCCCGTTTTTGTGTTTGAAATTGGTGGTATTTCCGATGCACACAGGTCTTCTTGTGTTGGTTGCCGATGTTGGGGGCACCAGATGGTCGTATGGCATTGCTTGTGTGTTTGTTAGATTTTCTGAGACGCAAATACACAAAAAGCGGTGCGAGTGAAATGTGCGCACACAAGAGACACACACACATATCCAAGCACATTGTCTGTGTGGCTTCTAATTGACATATTATGCGGGGCGGGTTGGTGCGGTCAATGCCGACGGAAGCGGGCAGCCGCGTGAGCCCAGCAATGGCGTTCGTGGTTGTGTGCGGGATTATATATTCCATCAGATGCTTGACGCCGTTCATGGATCGTTTAAGGTTTTTCTCTGCGATGCCCATGCTGCGTCTGTGCTGAGCTGCTCACTGCGTCTCCATGATCTCATGGAGCACGACATGACGCTGCTCGAGGACCCCATGACACCGCGGCAGCCGATTATGAGTAGCCCTGCACCCTACTCTTTTCCGTGGAGGATGCTTCTGTGAGCCGCGTGGTTGAGGATTGGATGGCAAAGGTTCCTTACAGGGATGTACACATCTTTGCGTTGGGGTGCACCCCGCATCGCAGTCCTCAGCAACTCGAGTGGGCTCGGATAGCGCCGAGGGCGATGCGTTCCAAGGAAATGGTGTTAGACTTTACTGCCCCTGAGGTGCTGGTGTTCCACCTCAGCATGCAGAATGGGTTCCCTCAGCTGCTGTCGCCGCTGTCGCCCCCGAATTGAGAGTCCGTTTTGGATGTTGCAGCGTCACGTCCTGTGGCGGCTTTTCACGCCATGAACAACGGTGTGCCTGTCATTCGCTACCAAAAGAGAGGCAGCATCTGCCATGGGCATGCCGGGACCTTCTTTGAGGGCTTGCCAGGCAATACCACGACGAGCCGGATTCCAATTAGGGGCGCCGACAGTTGCGGCAACCCGGTGCGGATCATCGTTGATTGGGGCTGTGTCACGGTGACGCCGCTGATGCACCAACGCACATGTCAGTGTCTGCTTGATGACCTGATGCCGTTGGAGAATAACTTGTATGAGCAGACCTGTAGGAATTGTCTGGGGGTGGACTCGAAGCGGCAGTAATTGGTGAGGAAGATGTGTACTGGTGCTCCTGCCGTCATTGATTCCTTGCGCAGTGCGTGGAGGAGCCTTCGGTGGCGCTGAAAAAACTCCACGCGTATCACCCGGGATTGGCGCAGGGCGTGGAGCCGAAGGCCAAGCTTGTGAGGTTGGGCAGTGCGGTGCGGGCTCCGCCGGAGTTTCGGGAGAGGCAAGCCAGACTGTCGCTGCACATCGATATTTGCGCGAGGCTTTTGGCACAGTACCGGGAGAAGCGACTGTCAGAGGTGCGGGAGGTGGAACAAGACATCGCCGTTGGGCACCAACCCCTCAGGAAATACCTGGATGGCGTGCGGCACCTGACGAGGGATGCCGCGATGCCCCGGCCAGTGCGACTGCGTCTTTTCCTGTTGCTTGTGGCTGCGAGCAACACCGACGAGTTGACGGAGGCCAAGAAGCAGCAGCTGATCCGAGACGGTGTACTGACGCCCGACGCCCATTTGTTTGTGAACCTTGAGCATGTGACGAGGAGGGCCGGGAGCGTGCAACGATACAGCACGGCGTCGGCGCAGAGCGGACGGAGCACGAGTGCCTCTGCGAGCAACGCCGCGACGGACGAGGATTCGTTTCTGAAGCATGCCTGTATGATGATGGAGACGGCGAACAGGAATAGGACGCTGCGGGTTGGGCTGTCGTTGGCATCGATGGAGCGCGATCATGTGATAGGGCCAAATGGCGCGAGTGGTGGCCAAAACAGTGGAGAAGCAGGAAAAAACGCCGAGCCATTTCAAGGGTGTGGTGGCAAAGGGGAGAATCATCCTGAGCTGGGTGGCGGTGGCGGTGGTGGGACGATTGCCCTCACAACTCCTCAGCGCATTGTGCTGCTTGTTTTGGGTGGTGTGGCCTGCAGCGAGAGGCGCTCGGTCCATGAGATATCCAAAAGACATGGCCGTGAGGTGGTCATTGGGAAACCTCGCTGCTGCGTCCTGAGTCCTTTGTGTGCAGGGACTTGGCATCCTACGGCAGTAGGACTTAGGGGCGAGACACGCAGAGGAATGCATCGAGGGCCAAAGAGTGGAACAGATGCAAACACACACGATTGCGGGTGTCCATGGGGATTGTGTGCGCTTCTTCTTGCCTTCCCTTTCTTTCCACGAAGCGTTTCATACGATGCGCGTGTGTGTGTTTCAACGGCCGCGCTGCTTGCCTTTTGCTTTTTTTTTTTGCCTGCGTGTGCGGTTGCAGGTCATTTCTCTGCTACGATAAAGGCGGTTAAAAAAGGAGGGACATTTGTGGAGCATGCACCCACGGCTTCAGTGTTCATCCACTGGTGCTGACCTTTCTCGCTGGGGCATTTGTGCACGCTTTTCCCTCCAATGTCTATTTTTTTTTTTTGCACAGGAGGCAACGGGTGGGCATTCGTGAGTGCTGCGGCGGGCTGTTGTTGCCCTCGCCGGGACGCGCTTAACGGCGTCAGCTCCATGACTTTGGTGCACAAAAGGAATGGAACGTTCTTTGGATTCTCACCGCAGGCGCATGCCGTGGACGGCCGAAAAGGAGTGTGTGCCCGGTGGTTTTCATGGCTCCAAGGAAAAGATGGTGTTGGATGGTGCACAACGAGTGGATGTGGAATGCGTTGGCCGTGCATCGCAGACGTATTCGCTGGAGGCATTGCGGGCGACCGTGGCCAGTTACGAGTACAATACATTTAGAGGAAAGAACATTTTAATTGGCTTTTCAGGCGGAATCCAATGTACTCAGGCGATGGGTTTACTGCAAGGGGTGGCAGGAGGGGACATACGACGAGGACGCCACCAGCACCGCCATTCATTTCCGTCGCCGCGAGACCACAACGCAGCCCGCGCCAATACGTCTTGCGGATTTTCCGGGTTGGCGTGCACTGTTCCGCTTGGCGCCACTGTTCCCCCATCCCCGAGCGTCGGTGCAGACTCCCTGTCGATGCATGTTCCTGTCGATTGCGGGCACACACCCATTGATTGATGATGCGGCCGACACCCCAGCCCATTGCTGGTACTTCTGGCATGACCGCTGCACCGCCCCCAGCAGCTGGTGCAGCGGGACTGGGACGAGAACAAGGCAGACCAAGTTCAGTCAGATGGTGCTGGCAGCCCTGTCAGCGGCCCACCACACCACCAGCGAGCACAGAAATCGACGGAACAGGGAAGGCATTGACGGAGTGTCAGGACACCAGTTGTCTTTCCACATGACTCCTAGTCAAGCAACCAGAAGAATTAACAACAACATCAGTCACCAACAATGAAAAGGAACAACGACCACCGCCGACAGCGACAGCAGCACCGCGGTCTTCCACACCACCATCCTCTGTTTTGCTTCTTCTTGTTGTTTTTGCGTGCGCGGCTGCGGTGGTGGCCGTGCCTGCATGAAGTGGTGTGCGCTGAATATGAACGAAGGCCAAAGAAAAATGAATTGTTTTTGTGATGAATATTGGCTGCACTTCCCGTGGACCAACAATCCACGTGGTGTGCGGGGATCCCCTTTTTTATTGTTTCGTTGCTTTTTTGTTGCTGTGTGCGCTGCACCTCCTCTTGTGTGTGTGCGTACCCTTCGTGAGGGGTGCAGACACGACGGACCGCTCTCGCCGTATGTGCATGCGGTGGAGCCTTGTGTGCCGCTCCTGTTTGCTTCTCCCTCTTCCATCTGTGTGTCGGTGTTGCGGCAGGGCTGTGTGTGTGTGTGCGTGTTGCCGTGGATTGGAGTGTGTGTTGTGCGTGGTGTGCGGCGTACGGTGCATGCCTGGCTGCTGCCCTCTCCTCATGTGGTGTGCCCTCTGTGTGTGTTTCTGCTACACCTCTCCTCTCCCCTGTTGCTCTCCATGTCCCTCACTGTGCAGATCAGCTCCACACCACTGAACGACCACACTCACGATGATGACGTGCCGTCTGCTGTGCGCCCTGTTGGTGCTCGCCTTGTGCTGCTGCCCTTCCGTGTGCGCGACGGAGCCTCCGCAGATGGATGATGCTTCCAGGACGATGACTACAGCAGAGGCACCAAAGGATGAGAAGAAGAGTGCGACTGAAAATGATGTACTTGTCGCCGGTCATTCATCTACTTTTTCAGAGTTAAGACTTCAAGAGAAGGATCAGTCAGGGTCATCAGTTTTGGGCCCCGTTGAGGACGAGGGAACGAAAGCCGGAGACGGTCCAACTACGGCCACTCCGGAAAAGCAATCAAACGACCCGAAGAATGTGGTACATACCGAAGGTAAGAAAAGCACGACAGAGTCACAAAGTGGTACGAGCAGTTCCACGGAAAATGAAGATAATAAGGCCGAAGATGCTCCCACGACTACGACGACCACCACCACAAAACTGCCAATTACGTCCACTACTGCGCCGGAGGCACCAAGTACTACAACTACAGAGGCACCAACTACGATGACCACCCGCGCACCGTCACGTCTGCGCGAAATCGACGGCAGCCTCAGCAGCTCTGCGTGGGTGTGTGCCCCGCTGCTGCTCGCTGCATCCACGCTGGCGTACACCACTCTGGGCTGAAGAGGTGTGTGTGGGCTGTGCGTGCCAGCACTCAACCACGGGGATTTGTGCGCGTCTACTTTGGTCTGATGTAAATAAATAAGAGTAATTATGATTGTGTTTTGCTTTCTTTGCTTCTGCTGCCCTGCTGTATGCTCCGTGTTGTGCTCCCATCCGTCACGTTGAACGCATCCCAGACACACTCATATGCTCAGCAAGCACGCAACTGTTTGCCTGGAATCACATTTGAGGATAGGTTCATGCACACTGGAGTCATTCTGTGCAGCCCCTTGTTTTTTGTGTGTTTTTACATTTTTTACTTCATTGCTGTTTGTTTACCTGTGTTTTGTTTTTAGTTGCTTTGTGTGTTTTTTCTGTTTACTTGCTGCGGGGCGCTGTGCTTTTTGGCTTTTTTACTGGTTTCAACTGCCTCATGGTGTGCGGTTGTGCCGCTGCTGCCATTTGTGACTGTGCGGTGGCTGTGTGACTTGTCTCTCTCTTTTTGCTTTCACTCTGCGTTGACGTGTTGTTATTTTGTGCTGAAGGCTGCACGCAAGTGACAGGAGTGATGGCGATGATGATGACTGGCCGTGTGCTGCTGGTGTGTGCCCTCTGCGTGCTGTGGTGCGGTGCCGGCGTTGTTGTGACTGATGGAACTGGAATGGATGCACAAGCCAGTGTGGCGCAACCTGGTCCTAGTGAGCCACAGATAACAGCTGGCGGAAATGGAGAAAATGAAGGAGAAAAAGATGTTACAAAAAATGAGGAACACAAACTATCAAAACAAGAGAAAGATGACGTTGAAAAGAAAAACCAAGAGCAAATCTTACCAGAAGAACACGATCAAGCACTAACAAATAAAGCAGCACAAAAACCCGCAGGGGAGCCATTGGAAGAAGTGAAAATCGATGTTGATTCTGAAGTTGAAGAAGAAATAAGTCTTGTGGATGGTGGGACTCCAAAAGAAGATGAAAAAGAACTGGGCCAAGAAGCAGTAGAAGTTGTACTTGGCAAAGATGATTCACCGGTGAATTTAACTGTCAGCCGTCAGGAAACATCAGGCATACATGCAGAGGACCCTGAGGGAAAAAGCGAACAAGAGGGTGAAAAAGAAGGGGAACAACACGTTCAACACCAAGAAGAAAATAAAGGAAAAAAACAAGACAAGGAAAATACAGAAGAAAATGAACAAATGCTACAGCAACAGGATCAAGGACTAGAACATACAGCAGACAAACAAAAAGGATCCAAAAAAGATGAAAAAGCTGTTGGCACAGCCGACACAGCACGTACAGACGACAGCGATAGCAGCACCGCGGCCTCCCACACCACCTCCCCTCTTTTGCTTCTTCTTGTTGTTGCGTGTGCGGCTGCGGCTGCGGTGGTGGCCGCGTGAGAGTGAGGGAGAGGGAGCCGTGCACCGCCCGCACACACACTCGTCCTTCTCTCTCTCTGTGCCCCCTTGCATGGACTCTCGCCCTCACCTCACCCCACGAAGCACACACATAATGTGCCCATTGTATATATGCATGCACACCCATGCAGTCCCGTTGGTGCTCTTTTTTGCAGCACACGCACCGCTGCCGTCCTGCCTGGCTGCATGGGCGGAGCACCGTAACTGTTTCTGTTTTGTTTCCATTGCATTGAGTGGGCGACCTCTCTCTCTCTGTTCCTGTGTGTGTGTTTTGCTTTACGGGAGCAATGAGAGTGTGTGCGCTGGTCGTCCCACGCTTCGTTTTTTTTTTATTGTTTTAATTGTGGTTGAGTGCACGCATTCCACGGGCTGCGTGTGTTTCTGATGAAGTGAGTAATTTGCGTGTGTGCTATCTTTCTCTCTGCCCTTTGTTGTCTTTGAATTCTCTTCTGCGGCAGGGCTGCTCTGCAGGTATAGGCGCTGACATGCACACAAGCATAAGTAAACATACACACGTCATTTTGCACACGCTGTGAACGCTGAAGGCGTGCGAGTACGGCCGCAACTGCAGCCTGTGCGGCCACTATCCCGTGCTGCAGACGGAGGATGGCTGTGACATATGTATTTCTTTCGGACCACTGTGCATCGTCAATGCATTTTTTGTTTTTGTTCTGCATTGTCTGAAAGTCGCACATGCTTACGCAGCTGACACTGTGGTGCACAGCGCGTGGGGATTGTATTGCTGACACTAATGTGTGGGCTTCCTGCTGCATCGTCTTGCCCACACGATGGGGTGGGAGGCGGGTTTGTTGGATGCGCCGTGCTTCTGGCTTGAAGGGTGGAGGCGCTGCGCCCACATATTGTTTTTCTGGGGCCCGGCGTCACGAGGTGGAGATGCCGAGTGTTTTATTGTATGAGACGTCGATGCCGTCGAAGCTGCTGCTGGTGTGGCGTCCATCCCACGCACACACTCACTAACAAACAAGTGACGGGCTGTGCGCGCTCTCTTCTGCGCGTGTGTGGAGTTTGCGTTGTGGTTGCTGTGCTCTTTTGCCGTTCACTTGCCGCATTGTGGATGAGGTGTGTGTGTGTTTGCCTCACCACTACCGTGCCGCCCCAGCAACGCGCTGGACGGCGTGGAGGCCGTATTTCTGCTCTCCGAGGTGTCCTGATGTAGGCGGCATGGACGGCACGTGCGTGGGCCCGTTGCCTGCAATACGTGGACCCTCCACACTCTAACGATGCGATCCGCAGCTTTCATTTTTTTCCTTTTTTCTGCGTCACGCTCCACGTTGGGCGCTGGGCGAGTGCGGCGGAGCGGAATGTGGACAATGCAGTAGCGTCAGCGGCACCTTGCCCGTCGCTGTCTGCCGCTTGCCGCGTCAGCGACGTCACAGTTGTTCTTAATTTGCTTGCCGCGGGTGCATTTTGTTGAGGGCGCATTCTTCCGAGGAGGCCTGCATTTTTGTGCTCCTGGCATCCTGTCTTCAACTTGTGTTTCCGTTGCTTGCGAGCGACGCCTGTCCTGCGTGAGTGGTGCTCCTCGTCCTTCTGCCTTGTTGCGACGGCGCCGTTCTCTGATTTACTTCTTCCGCTTCCTTTTCTTTTACGTTTGGAGGAGCGGAAGGACAGGAGCCAAGGTGGCAGTTTCACAATGTGTGGAGTGTACATTGCTGACCCCGCTGTGTTCGACGCAGACACGTGTGCGGCGTGCTAGGATCGTGTGCGCACGACTCTGTGGGTGCACTGCGCCGTGCTGCTCATTCCCGCTGGAAACGTGGCCCCAGGGGCTGGGGAGATGTGGGTGAAGAAAATGGAGATGGTAAGGCGGCGCGACGCCGTCATTGCGGACCTGTGTCTGTTTTGCTTGGATGGGCCGGACTGCGGGACGGCGTTTGAAGTGGCCCACGCTGCCGCCCTGGGAAAGAGGGAGCTGACATTTACTTTCGATTGGCGTTCCATGAGGGAGAAGTACGGCGGCGCGTGTGACGCGTCTGTGATGAGTGTGGAGGACTTTGGCCTTTCATTCAGTCTGATGCACTGCGACGGTGCGGAGGCGTTCGACTCCTTCGACGCTGCCCTTCACTACTTTCTGAGGCACAGCTCGGAATGGCGAGGATGCGACTATGGGGGATGTGTGCGAAGTTAGAGTTAATGCTTTGGGCCCTGGTGGGATTTTGTGCACGGCTTGGCGTGCATCCCCGACGCAATGGCCGGCGGAAATTCCATGCTGTGTTTCTCAGCAACAGGGCAGGCGACTGGCTCCGTGCGGCACAGCTGGGTCTGGCGTGTGTGCCGCTGACTGTTGTCTGTTTAGTGCTTTTCCCGCTGCTTTTTTGTGTGGGCCGGAGATGTTGTCCTGTTGCCCACGAGGCGGGTATCCCTTTTTTTTTTTTTGGCTGTGAGCGCTGGCACGTCTGTTGGTGGTCGTGCGTCGCCTTTTTTGAAAAAACACACAGTCCTTCCACCTCGGCGTGTGAGTGGTTGGAATAAATGATTGCTGCTGCTGCAGTGACACGCTGTGCACCCCATTGGTGTGTCTAATGTGCTTCCCTGTGCTCTTCTCCCCATTTCTGACACACACACACTTGAAAAGGAAAGCAAACAAGCGCTAAACGCTACTGTGAAATTCGAGGGCACTGAAAGGAACAACAGCACACACACTGCCCACACATACATATTTATATGGTCTCACGTGTTGCTGCAGTGAAGGCACCCCGCACACACAACCGTCGCCGCGTGACCGGATCCAGCGGAAGGAGGAGGGAAGGAGGAGAGAGTGAGCCGCAGAGGCCCAACATGTCCCGGCGTTTGCTTGATTCTACGGTGCTGCTCCTCCTCGTCGTGATGATGTGCTGCGATACTGGAGGTGCGCGTGCCAGTAAGGCGAGTGATCCAAAGCCTATGGCTATTTTTGTACCATGGGAAACGAGGGTGTCTTCTGGCGCATTTGAGAGGCAACAGCTATGGAGAAAATGTTGTCAAATCGTTTATTTTTCATTCTCTTGTTGAACCACTATGGCTTAATTGTGGGTATTGCCAAGGCCAATTAGGGAGTCCCTTCTAGTGCCAGTGTTGGCATTTGAGCAAAGTACGTGAGTTTTACACGGGAGGAGTGGACGAAAGGAATCGCAGCGGAGAGCGTGACGGACTGGAGGACGGTCATTGCCGTGGAACGAAGAGAAGAGGCGGTTCACGCGTCTCAATTGAACGGTCTCAAGGCGTTGACGAAAGACGGGAAGATTTTTCTGCCTGTGGAACGCCTTCCTGCGAAAAATGCCAGCGCGATGCTGGAAACTCCACACATTTGGGAGCTTGTGCCTTTTTAAAGGTAAGGTTGTTGGTCTCCAACGATGTGGTAAGGCGCATCACGTGTGGTGCTGGGAGCCTTTCCAAGGCTGTTGTTGACGGTCAGCTACGAGCGAAGTCATGGAATGGGTTCTGGGGTATTAGCGGCAGGGGCGTGGTGGCGAATGGCATCGCGATTGTGTTTCCCCTTGTGGCTGTGAAGGGGGACAACACAAAAGTCTGCAACATCATCCATTCGAAGGGCTGTGGCGGGAATTGGGGGTTCCCTGCGGAGGGTGTTGCTGACGGGATTGCGCTGATCCCAATCTCTTTGAGTGGGAGGGAAAACTCCTCATGGTCGCCATGCATGGAGGCCATGACGGGAAAGTGCATGAGTCCTGTGAAATGGGGGAGGAATGGATGTAATTCGGCGGAGCACATTTGAATGTCTTGACTGAGGCCTTGAAGAGTGCTACGACTCGTGGCCGACTCGAAATTGTGACGGCATCCATCGAGGGGAGGAGTGTAATGCTGTTTGCCTTTCCCAGGCAGAATAATATTCGGAGAGCCACGAGCGTGTTGCGTCTTTATATGACCGATATGAATCGATTTTACCCCATTGGACCGTTATGTGCTGATGGTGTTTTCAAAAACGCAGATACTCTGCAGTACAAAGGTGGTGAACTGTTTGCCCTGTACGAGTGGAATGCAGGACAAGGGCGTGTTGTGCTCGCACCCTCACTGAGCAGCTGGATGAAATAAAGACTGCGCTGAGGAATTGGGATGCAGTGGACAAGAACGTCGCAACGCCTTGCACTTCCACCAGCAAAGAGGGAACCGCATCCGACGGTGCCTGCAGCACTCCTATGCCCACGAATGAACTGGTCGGATATTTGTCCAACGAGGGTGAGAGGGATTGCTGGGTGAACGAATATCTCGCGGCGAGTGCCACGGTGATTGGGACAGCAACGAAGGTTGAGGACGGTGCGACGTTTGAGGGGCCTGGGGTGTGGGCAGAGTGGCCTATGGGTAATCGGTGGCGGAATCAACGCTTCCACATTGTGAACAAAGGCTTCACTCTTGTGGCGACGGCGACGATTGGGACGGCTCCTGTGGACAGCGGCAGCGCCATTATGGTGGCTGTGGGTGGCGCTGGGAGTGTGAGGATGGTGGGACTGTCAGTCACGGCGGACAATAAGCGGGAGGTGGCGTTTGACGGTGAGGCGGGAGAAGTGCAGCACGGGAACTGCGGGCTGGAGAGAACGTACCGGGTGGCAGTTGGGCTCCAGAACGGCATGGGCAGCGTGTGCGTGGGTGGCAAAACTTTGGGGAGCTCAGCAACGACAGTTACACGTGGGGCGCAGTTGCTCGACGTCTCATGCTTCTACGTTGGAGGTGACGGTTGCAGTGGCTCAGGCTGCAGTCAGGTGACGCTGACGCATTTCTGTCTGTGCAACCGCCCACTGACCAGGCAGGAACTACAGATGCTCCTTTTGCATGGCAAACAGACTGAAGCGGGTTGCAAGGAGGGAAAAGCGACACTGTGCCCCGGGAATTTTTTGGCCAAACTGCCACAGGATCCGGGCATTGACGCGGCTGCGGGGGAAATGTTGCCAGTGCCCGCCAAGGGGGAATTTTGCGCGGGAAACAACATTACTGATGTCAATGGCTCTACTGTTTTATTGTTTTCAAAAGGAATTGGTGACGGTGCCGTCCATGGGTGTGTGCCTTGGGCATTTTCTGCCCCTACTTCAAGGAGTGTTTGGGGACGTGGCATTTTTATGAGCCGTAGAATGCGGTTGTGCGATTTCTAATGGACCGTACGTGCCGCTTTTTCCGCGTGCTTTTTTTTTCGTTTTTTTAATGATTCGTTGTCATTTTCTGCTGCTGCTTTTGCACGGATGGGATAGTCAGCACCCCTTCTTTTTCTTTTTCCCTTCGATGGTTAATCGCCGTACACTGCAATGGGTGACGTGTTTCTTACTTTTATTTGTTGTTTGTGGCCCACACCGTCGCCAGCCTTACTGCTGTGCGTGCCGTGGACTGCACAAAAAAAAGGGGGATTGGAAGAACAGGCCGGATGACGCAATGAAGTGTGAAGAGTGTTTTGTGTGCTGGTGGAACAGTACGATCTGTTTTATTTTTGATTTTATTGTTTTTACTTGTGCAGGCAATATGTATAGACAAAAACACGGTCGTTTTGTGCCACATGGCACATGAAATGAAAGTCGTGCCTGATCATTTTTTCATTTTTTTACTTTTTGGGAGCTCTTCCGGACTCTCAACTCTGTTGTTGTGCGTCTTTACTTTTTGGATTCTGGTTTGCAGGGCTGTGTGTGTTGTTTGCAATCGCACCGATTCCAACTGCCTCATGGTGTTGCTGGGATGCTGTTGTTGTCACTGTTTGGTGGCGTAGCAGCCTTGTCTCTCCCCTTTCCTTTCACTCTGCGTTGAGTTGGAGTTAGTTTTTGCTGAAGGCTACACGCAAGTGACAGGAGTGATGGCGATGATGATGACTGGCCGTGTGCTGCTGGTGTGTGCCCTCTGCGTGCTGTGGTGCCTCACTGTTTTTGGAGCTGCAAGGGACAACCGCTGCGTTGAGGATGATGGGAACGTATTGACGCACACGCATAATGGAGGAAATGACAGGCTGCGCCTGAAGGCGGATTTCGGGTTGATTTCCACCCGAACGGGATTAATAAAGGCGGTTGAAGCTGGGGAAAGAGAAGGAGAAGATTTGGAAAATGGTCATGATTCATTGGAAAATGAGGATAAATCACCGCAAGGTGGTGAGCCCGCTGGTATTGGGGGCAATGAAGCGCCTGGTGCAGGAGGAGGGCAGGGTGCCGCGGGTGCAGGAGCACCATCCCTGCCGGTGTCTGGGCCTGGAGTGCCAGGGGCAGGTGGTGAAAACAGGCAGTTACCTGTGGCTGGTCAAGAAGGGAATGAAAACAAAAACGTGGATCCCAATAACAAAGAGCCAAGGGAGTCCCAAGACCAAACCAACGATCAATTTTCCTCTTCATCTGGCAGCACTTCCACTCGTTCTGGTGAAAAACCCTCTTCGACGGGTACCTCCGACATTAACCAATTGCCCAGGGACACAGAGACAAAAGGAGATGTTGGCCCTCGCAATAATTCTGGCGATGATGGAGAGAGAGACGAAGAAGAAACGGGAAGAGAAAAAGAAGAAAACAAATTACAACCCGAGACACAAGAGAGGGGAAATAATGGGGAGGTACCACCACCACCACCGCCACTACCGCCACTACCGCCATCGGGTGGACCTGCATCATCATTATCAGAGAGTGAAGGAAGCTCACCAACGGAACCAAAAAACTCACAGAATCCGAAAAAAGTAACGAACGAAAACACACCGTCAGAATTCAAAACGGACTCAGAAGCACCGGAACAGCCTTCAGGGGATGCTACACAAGGGCAGCACAGTCATGACACAGACACAGAGGATTCGACGAAGAATGCAGCAGCCGGCAGTCCAGCAGAAAAAACAACATCCTCATCTACCTCTGCAAGTGGCAGCGGTGATCATGTCCACAATAAGGCAGATGAGGATGATGCTCAAAGCTCTGAAGGACAACACGACAGTCTTGAAACTGGCAACACCAAAGTTGTTTCAAAACTCAGTGAGACAGCACCACAAACAGCAGAAACAATCACCGCCACTCAAACAAATCATACGGTAACGCCTGGCGACAGTGACAGCAGCGCCGCGGTCTCCCACACCACCTCCCCTCTTTTGCTTCTTCTTGTTGCGTGTGCGGCTGCTGCTGCGGTGGTGGCCACGTGAGAGTGAGGGAGAGAGAGCCGTGCACCGCCCGCACACACACTTGTCCCTCTCTCTCTCTCTCTGTGTGTGTGCCCCCTTGCATGGACTCTCGCCCTCACCTCACCCCACGAGGCACACACATAATGTGCCCATTGTATATATGCATGCACACCCATGCAGGCCCGTTGGTGCTCTCTTTTGCACGACACGCACCGCTGCCGTCCTGCCTGGCTGCATGGGCGGAGCACCGTAACTGTTTTTGTTTTGTTTCCATTGCATTGAGTGGGCGACCTCTCTCTCTCTCCCTGTGTGTGTTTTGCTTCACGGGAGCAATGAGAGTGTGTGTGCTGGTCGTCCCACGCTTCGGCTTTTCTCTTATAGTTTTGTTGTTTTTACTTGTTTTGTGGTTGAGTGCACCCATTACCCCTGTTTTTGAATTGGTGGGTTGCTTTGACTGCGGACGTATGATTTTCTTTTTTTTTTTTTTTTTTTGGGATATTGTAAGTGTTCTTTTTCCTTGTCAAGCCATGAAGTGTCTTCCTTCACGTAAAGCATGTGTCGGTTGATCCACGTCACCCCACGGTCTGCAGTGCTGCTGGTGCTTCTGGTTGTGATGATTTTTATGTTTTTGTTGTGCTGGCGGGCGCTTTGCTGCCAGCCTGACGTACTCCTGCTCCTCTGACAAAGCGATGCGTGCCCACAGGGCGAAGTCGATCCCGGCTGTGGTGAGGGACGTGCCTTTTGGATCTGAGGGTGCGTC